AGGGGTGGGGATGTAGCTCAGTAGTAGAGCACCCCAGGGTTCAACTCCTAGTACTGAAAAAAAAAGAAAAAAAAAAAAAAGAAAGGAATATGTTTGCTTTGGTACTTAAATTTTCCTATGTGAACTACCTAAAATTATCTCCTTTTCTCACTGTTTTTTTTTTTTGTCTTTTTGAAACAGGGTCTCGCTGTGCAGTTCAGGCTGGCCTTTAGCTCACTTTGTAGCCCAGGCTGGTCTCGAACTTGCAATGATCTTCCTGCCTCAACCTCCTGAATGCTGGAATTACAGGCATACACCACCATGCCCTGTGTCAAAGTTCTAAAGCCTCAATGAAACCTTTTGACCAAGTTTAATCTACATTAATTTTTCTTTTTTGAATTCAAAAGCCTCTCTAGGGCACACCAGTGTGTCATTTCCTCAGGATTTGTTGGACTTGGTGTGGCTTGGGGTGTTGTCCTAACTAGACTGAATGTTTTCCTAAAAGAAAGGAACATGGCACATAGCCACTGTATCCAGGTTGAGTATCATTTATCCAAAATGCTTGGGACCAGAGGTGTTTTAGATTTGAGATTTCCCCCTACCCTTGATTTCAGGATATTTGCATATACATAATGAGATAGCTTGAGGGTGTAACCAGTGTAAACACAATATTCATTTATGTTTTGTATACACATAGCCTAAAGGTATTCCATACGATATGTTCAGTATACCTGTATTTAGATTACGGCTCCTCACATGAGGCCAGGTGTGGAATTTCCCACTTGGATATAAAGTTGGTGCTCAAAAAGTTTCAGGTTTTGGAACATTTTGGATTTTTGTATTAGGAAGGTTCAATTTATATAATCCCACCAGTTACCAGTAGGTGCTTAAATATATTTTTGATGTTTGGATTTTCAGAACTTATCTGGTGGGGATTTGGGTCTGGTTTGTGTTTATGTCCCTCTAGAAAGGGTTTCCTCTTTGTTTTTGTCAAGTGGCCCTTGGTGAACCAGCCTGGATTATTCAGGTAGTGTGCATTCTGTCCCTTAGTCCAGGTGAGGGTAGACTTGTGCTTATAAATTCTAGGCATCGAAGTGGGAGCTACTAGAGGAATAGGAACTGAAGGGGGAAAATGTGTGGTTTAAAACTCCTGGATTTAATAGCTTATCTTGACTGTGACACTGTTTTCAGGCTCAAGTGCAATCTGGGATGTGTGACTCGGTCATCATACCTTTCAGTCCACAGGGGGAATAGGAAAAGGTACACAGTTCCCATTCAGAGACTGAAACGGAAGCCTAGAACTCCGAGACCAAGTGTGTGCCCTCTCTTCTGTCTTTCCAGACAGAGAGAAGATGAACTCTCACAAGAGGAAGGCAGGCCGTCTTCACCGACATGCTACCCCGACCCCCAGACCCATCTCCAGGCCCTCCTCTTCTTCTATTTGTGCCATATTTAAGAGTTACACAGTACTTTTATACCCAGTAGCTCCTTGTTCAAGAGTGCTGTGAGAAAAGCAAAGTGGATACTCTGAGACATTGGCATTAGCCCCTCAAAAGCTGCACCATTTCGATGATGTGTCTGAGGTTCTTGACTGAGGTTCTTTGTCATTCCAGGCTTGGGGTCAGAGGATTGCTTACAACACAGATCATGTTCATCTCCCTGGATTCTTTGCTTTTATTGGGTGAAATGTACATGGCACACAGTTTTTTTAAGTGAACAATTCTGTGGCGTTGAGTATGTTCACAATGGTGTGAACCACTATGTCTACTTCCTAAACTTTCCATTGCCTTCTGCCTGGGTTTCCGTGCAGAGCAAGAGAGAATCTGTATGAGGCATCCAAAGCAGGGCCTTGGCCCCAGTAGGAGCTCAAGAAAAACACTGGCTCAGCCTGTATTTTTAGAGTCTCTCTAGCCTTCTCTCAGAAACCTAATGTATAACTGAGAATTATTGTCTAAATTTAGCACCTGAGAAAATCAGGTTGAGGACATATGACATACTCCTTTCCCTCCTAAAATGTCAAGATCACCCCCTTCTAGGGACATTTTTCCTAAGATTGTAAAGTAGCCAGAAACATCTACCTATGGATGCCCCAGGACTTAATTGCATGCTGTCACAGAGCCTCTTGTTTTTGAAGTTTGTGTTCTTGGCCAGGCTGTGACATGCACAGTCTTGGAGACTCCACAATACTCCCCATTGTCCTGGGTACAAAACAAAACAAGTGGTGAACAGGTATGTATCGGATAGCATTGGATAGAGGCCAGCCAGCTCCCAAAGTCTAGCTACCACCCGGAAAACATGGACAGAACTCAGGGGTGCATCTGACTTTTAAAACTATGGTTTTGGTGCGAGAGGATTCATTTATCTTGGTGTTGAGATGGAGCCGGACACGGCCGATTCAGGCTCTGGCCTGAATCCCTCAGGCAACTGTGCCCAAGACAGAACAGGAAAGGCCTGGCTTCCCACACCTGTTTGTTCAGCAGAAGGAAGGCGAAGGCTGCAAGCAGGCTAAGCTGAAAACATAATGCCTTTGGTCTTTATTATATTTGCCAGTTACAGGAGCAGGGCCTGGAAGAAGCCCATGGGCCAAGAAGTCATGACGGTCTCTTTGGCTTTCATCACCGAGTGTTGAAGCTGGTGGCCAGAGGTGCTGCTGTAGAGGGGCTGGTGAGGGGTGTGACTGGGTCAGGAGGGTGAGGATCTGCTCCTGAGGGCCTAGAAGCTGGCAACGTGCAGGCTCGCCGGGGGAGCTTTCTTCTGGTGACATCTAATGCTTCTCCACACACTCATTGCGAGGACGCCGACTAGGAGGCCACCTAGGAGGCCACCTACTGCTGCCACTGGCACAGCCCCATGGAATACACCAGAGGCTTTTGCAGTCTGGTCTGGGAATAACCGACTATTCTGAACGGTGTAGAGGTAAGGACTCTCCTGTGGAGGAAGACAGGAGGTCAGAGGAGCAGAGTAAAACTCATCCACTTGTCTCTATGTACTTGGTCCCCAGCCCTGGTAAGCACAATAACTTTGCATGTTTTCACAGCCCTTCCCTGTTTGTAAAGCTCCACCGTTTACACTGTGCAGGAACTTCCTGCACAAGGATGGGCCTCTCAGGTGGTCAATGCCCAGCCATAACCTCCCTTAGTTTCTTCCCAGAATCTCCTTTCCTGTCAAATCTGTCTTTGAAAGATTGGGGACTGATAGGTGACAATCGAGGGAGTCATGGTGGCAGCAGGCAGAGCTCCCACTCTGTGTCTTCCAGGTCACTACTATTCCTGCCTCCCTTCCCAGGAGTGCCAAGGGTCCTGGGGAGGTCACTGCAGGAAGACAGCTGGCTCTGCGGTGGATTAAAGAAGCACAGTGAGAAGAACCAGGACAGGGAGGCATCTGGGCCTGCCTCCCAGGTCTTGTTCTTCCTTCTTTTCCCCTCCAGTTTTTTCTCTGTCAGTGCACACTGAGTGCCTGCTGGGTAGGACCACGGGCCAGGAGCTGAGCTAAGCTGAGTATCTGAGGATTAGAACAGGAGATCTGCTATCATTGCCCAATAGGGAAATGAGATATGTACAGAGTGAAACACAAAGGGAAACGTGTACAAGCAGAGAAGCGAGATCAATACAGGGGTCCATCTGGGGCAGGAATGGTAGAGTAAGACAGGGTGGAATGAACCCAAAGATAGCACCATCTGGGCTCAGAAGGAGGTAAACACCTCCACAGGCAGAGAGGGGAGGTGAGCCACCAGGAGCAGATGGCAGAAGCAAAAACACAGACAGAACTCGGGGGCGCATCTGGAAGTAGATCCATTTGCCAGGAGTGTAGAGTATAGAACAGAGGAGAGTGGGCTTCCTCTCTGGACTCCTCCAGTCCTAGGCAGTGGGGCCTGGGAAAGGCTGGCGTTAGCTCCCAGGAAGCTGACATAGGATGATGGAGCAGAGGGAGAGGAGAGCTGGAGTGAGAGCGGGGCTGTGCCTGTGGCCCGGCTGAGGGAAGTGGGCACGGAAAGGGAGAACGAGGACTGTGGTCCTTGGGAACAGACACCGCATCTTTGTTCTGGACCCCAGCTCCTCTTATAGTGCTGCAGAGCTCCTCCATGCATGCTCAGGATCCAGGACGCTCAGGCCCCTCACAACAGTAAGGAGTGGCTCCAGGCACCGGGCCAGTGCTCACTAGCTGCCCCCTCTGTGACTCCTTCACATCTCCTCTACTCAATGGCTACCCACCCGAGGAGCTGGGGCATTCTAGTGGCAATGAGAAGAGGGGGAGGGTGGAGCAGGATGGCAGTGACGGTGTGCAGAGGCCAGCAGAGGCTCCTTTGTACCTCCAGGTGAGAGGACCCTCGCCCCCACTCCCACCCCAGCAGACCATTTACTCACAGGCGAGGGGCACTTGAGTTTGGCTCGGCTGTAGGTGAAGTTGTTGAAGGTCGTCTTATGGCCCACTGGTTCCAGCTGGGGAGAGAAAAAAGACACATTGATTCCCTCCCTTTCAAAGGGTAGGCTAGGGGTTGGGGATTTAGCTCAGTGGCACAGCGCCTGCCTGGCAAGTGCAACGTCGTGAGTTCGATTCCCGGTACCGGAAAAAAAAAAAAAAAAGGGTAGGCTAGAACCAATAACTTGGCAAGACCTAAAGCAGAAACCAGAAGCCCTGGGCCAGAACTAGAACTGGCTTCTGATTCACAAAGTGATGAGTTTGAGTTTGCCCGAGCAGGAAAGGACCCTGAGTTGATTCCCCTTGGATTCATCCAGGAGGACACCGAGGCCCAGGAGACAATGCCAATTCAGAGTCCACTGAATGTTCTGGAAGGGCTGGGACCACAACGCCCATCTCCTGGCTCCTTTCGTGGGAGGCTATGATTGCAGACACCATATTTTCAATTTTATAAAATGGCAATAATCATATTTACCAACTTTTCCGAGCGCGTGGGGCTAGTCAGTTTCAGGACAACTTTGAAAACGTATTGGTTACCATGACATTCTTACTACACTTGGCTTGTCAACCTTAAGAAACTAGAATTTTCTCACGTGAGCTGCTTTATGTGTCTATTCACACAGATGAAAAGATTTACTTGAAATATCCCTGGGACTAATTGTGCTTTGGTGGGGGTTCTGCTGAATGTTTTCCATCTGAGGAACCTCTGAGAATGAGTTGAAAGCTCATCTTTAGCAGCATCATTAGCCAGTAGCTTGCCCTTGACCTGTGGCCTGCATGGGGAAGGACAGACCTGGCACTTTCACCTGAGTGCAGACTCTGTCCAGGGTGTCCAGCCACTGCCTGTCCTACAATCTGCTTCCTGCCTGATCCTGACAGCCAGAGTGGAGGCGAGAGTGCTCTGTCCAAACTGGTGACCACACCCAGCCCATGACCTCACTTTCTGTTGTCTTAAAGCCTTTTGCATGCGTTCCTGAGTAACACAATTAGAGGAGGAAGGGCGGCTCTGGGCCTGGGAGAGACGCCACGGTGACTCAGCTGAGCACAGTGGGCAGATAGCTGGGTCCTGAGTGCCAGCAATGACCATGCAGCGCCATGCAGGCTACTTAACATCCCCGAGGTGGGGAACAGGTGTTAGGATGCTGTCTCAAAAGCTCCAGGAACAGTTACTGTGAACATCAGATGAGAAGGTGACGGGAAAGCGTGTGTGAGCTGAGGGAGGCTTACGTACATAAGACAGCACCATTTCCACTTTCTTAGAGCTAAGGAAATGCAATTGAGTTCTGGTATAGCAGAACCACACTGGGGCAGAATGGTGGCTACAGGTCAGGCCAGCAGATTCTTAGGGACTCTCTGGGAATTAACTGGCACAGAGGAAGGCTGTGATTGGACGGGTTGATGAGTGCATCAGTTTCTCTGTTCTTGCTGGCTCTTTCCCATTGGCTCCCACCTATTGCACCATCTCCCATTCCTACACCTGCCCTCCTTGCCTCACACCGCCTCTACCTCTTCTGCTATCCTGACTGTTGTTCCCTCCTGACTTCCCGAGAGTTTCCTGTAGTCGCTGCCTGCCCTGCCCAACCTTCGTCTCTCCTGCCCACTTCAATTGGTCTGCAGCCTCCATTGCTGATGGTAGCCAAGGTTACCAGTGACGTCTCTGCGGCCAGATCTTTTCAGCAGTGTTCGTCAAAAATGACTCCTCCCCTGAAACACTCGACACTGGAAAACTGGGACCCTGGAAAACTACACTTCTCTACTCTCTTCCTCTCTCCCTGCATCAAAAGGTGGAATGAATGCCCCTGGGCTTGCCAGTTGATGCCACACTCTTTTCTGCTCATTCTTCTCTGGAAGTTCTCAGTTAATCCCATGGGCATGGTTACTTTTGTATTTTAATTTTTAGTTTTCACATATGAGAGAAAATGTGATACTTGTCTTAATGTTTCTTACTTTTATTTTATTTTTTTTCCCCTGCAAATGACAATTTCATTCTTCTTCATGGCTATGGGATATGTTTATCCATTCATAGAGGGGACCTAGGCTGACTGCATGTCATGGCTATTGTGAATAGTGCCACAATAAACATGCACATGCAGGTGTCTCTTTTGTATGCTGATTTGATTTCTTTTACATATACATTCACAGGTATTTCCTTTAGGTAACTGGATCATTTTGGAGTTCTATTCTTAGCTTTTTGAGGAATCTCCATATTGTTTTCCACAGTGGCTATACTGATTTACATTCCCACCAGCAGTGTATGGTGTTTCTTTTCCTCCACATCTTTACCAGCATTTGTTTTTTAATAATAACCATTCTGACTGGGGTGAGGTAGAATCTCAGTATAGTTTTTATTTGCATTTCATTGACATCTAAAGATATTGAGCATTTTTCCAAATATTTATTGGGCATTTTTTTTTTTTTTTTTTTGTCCTTTTGAGACAAGGTCTCGCTGTGCAATTCAGGCTGGCTTTGAGCTCACTTTGTAGCCCAAGTTGGTCTCAAACTCAAAATGATCCTCCTGCCTCAGCCTCCTGAGTGCTGGGATTACAGGTGTGTGCCACCATGCCTGGCTTATTGGGCATTTTAATAGTATGGTTTTTTATTACACATCAATACTATCAACACCATTTTTACCTTTTAGTCTCCAGCCTGCCCTCTTCTGTGAGCTCCAGATTCCTGTATTTAACAGCTCACCTGATAGCTCCTGGTGCCTGTCTGGAAGGTAGTTTCCATATCCCATGTCTAAAATAGAACTTGATTTTCCCAATAAATGAGGAATTCCTCTCTACCAGTCAACCATCCAATTTCTCAGATAGCCCAAAGCAAGAAGCCCTCCTTTGTTCCTCTTCTCCTTCTGCTAGTCCCAACCATGTCCTAAATCTGACCAGCACCCTTCTCCTGTCCTCCCCTGCACCCTTGCATGCAGCCAGAGGGCAAACCAGAGCACAAGACTGCCCTAGTTAGAGCCCACTGGGGGCTGGCCCGCACCTGCTTCTCTAATCTTGCTCACTTCCCTCCAGATGGGCTAGCCTGTAGGTTCCCCAGGCGCTTCAAGTTCCTTCCCGACCCAGGCCCACATGGGTCTCGCTTTCTCTCCCTGGAACATGATGGCCCCAGACTCCTGCCTGCCTAGCAATCTACTGACAGTCGGTTCTCAGTCCCCTTGTGCTGTCTTCTGACTCTCCGATCTATGTCCTATCCCCTGCTTGACTTTCACTTTTTAAAGCCCTGAATATGGTCAGACCCATTGACTTATTTGGTGACTTGTTTATTACTTATCTTTCCCTCACTCTAATGTATACTTCCCTAGGGTAGGGATGTTACTGTCCTTTTCACTTTGGAATCGCTGGCTCCTGGAACAGCACCTACTCCGTAGCAGGGCTGGATAAATAGTTGTGGAACAGTGGATGGAGGAATAGAAGGAACCCACACCTGTGCAGAAAGCTCAGGCAGAGAAGGTTTGGAGTGGCTGCAGGAAGCAGAGCTGTTATTTCTAATGTCAGCCTTTCCCAAACCGGACACTGTAGGTGCTGATGATGCAGGCATAGTATAATGGATCTGGTGGCCACTGGGCTGTCTGGAGACTCAGGGGCAGTCCCTGCAGAAACTGGCATCTGATCTAGCATTGAGGGTAGGCAAGGAGGTAAGAAGGGCTACCCAAGATAAGGTAATGAACAGGTGCAAATTCACACAGGTGTGAGACTACATGGGTGATGCAGGAACTTGCAGGAGTTATCAGACTGCAAAGTGGAAGTAGAGGCTGGTGGGTACGGTGGCCCAAGAGGTGAACCAGAACCAAGTGCCAAGAGGCCTCGCATGCTGTGCTAAGGGCCTGGCCTCTCTCCTCTGGATGTGGGGGCCTTGAAAGTTTGAAGGCAGTGGGTGACCTAGTTAGGTTTTCTTTTATACACATCATTTGGTTGTCCTGTATTGACTAGATCTAAGAGTGGTTCATAAATCCTGCATGTTAAAATCATCTGGGGAATTTTTTTTAAAGTGTTGAATCCAGGATCCACTCTAAACCAATTAAATCAGGATCTCTGGGGACAAGAGCAGCCAGGCACTGTTTTTGTTTTTGTTTTTTTTAAGTACTATTTATGGAAGGTAACATTCACATAGGAACAAGTAGAAATCACAGGTGAGAAGCTGATCAGTTTTGATGAAGCAAACGTAGTAACATCCAAACCAATAAATAGACTATTACCAGTATTTAGAAGCCAGCCCCTAACTTCATTTAGTATTACCCATTCCCAGTAAAAGGGACCAACATGCTGATTCTAACACTGTATGATAAACTGTTTGCTTTTGAATTTTGTATGTATTTGCATGGTATTGAAGTTTGTTTATTCTCATTGCATAAAGTATTCCCTTGTATTGCTATACCAATGTTTTACTCATTTTACTGTTGGTTGGGATTTGGAGAGTTCCTAGTTTGGGGCTATTATAAGCAATATTGCTATGAAACTTCTTGTATGTATCTTTTGGTGGAAAGCATGTGTACCTTTCTGTCAGGGACATGTCCAGGAATGAAATTGTTGGGTCTCAGGAAATACATATGCTTGCTATTATTAGCCATGCTAATAATAGGGGTTTAGGACTCTTCACCTTTAGAAGCCCCCAGGTGATTCTAATATGCAGCTAGAACACAAAGTTGCTGTTCTAAGGGCTGTAAATCTGGAGACAAGGATGACGATGAGGAGATGTAATTATCAGGAGTAGGGTTTCTAGAATAGAGAAAACAGGCAGCAGAAGAGGAATAGGTCTCAGAAAAAAAGAAAGAAAAAGTCTTTATAAGAAGCAACAACAAGTTAAAGGAAGATAAAAATATCTGGTGTTGCTGGTATTTCTGGCTTGGCTTTGCAAAGGTCTCTGGAGAAGAAGGCGTGAGCTATTAAGAGAGGAGGAGGAAGAGATGAAACAGTTTAAAGTGCATTGTTGCCCCAGTAGTGTACCCTGGGAACATCCACCAAAGCCCGCAGACACTGTGTCACAGGACTCAAATTGTGAGACATGAATTCACTGGCTATATGTGTGTTTATCAGGTTGGAGCCGAGGGGAGGGTGGTGATGTGCCCAGGACACTAGGAAAAGACGTGGACAACCTGGACTCCCAGCCCTGGTGTACCGCTGACCAGCCATGTGATGCCGGGCAATTTACTTCACATCTCTGTATTTTAATCAAAAAATGTTCCGGCTCGAGGACCTCTTAGATGTATTCCAGCTCTAACAGCCCATTATTTATCTGATGTCACTCTAGGGGTGAAATTCCAGTAAGATGATGATGGAGAAAGTTGGCACAAGGCTCTACAGCTTTGTGTCTGAGATGGTTTGGGATGAAAACACTGAACTCTGTAATCATTTCCCCAAATTATAGAGCACAGGATAAGAAACTCTTGGGTGATTTCAGTTTTGGTTTACTTTGTTTTTGTTGTTTTTACATGTGGGGTAATGTTGAGACAATGTCTGGGCAGTTTTGTCACCAATAGGGCTCCATGGTAGGGTCCACCTTTACTTTTCTTTTCTTTTCATATCTAATCCTCTCCTTCCTATCTGCATGAAATAAAAGCCCTCCAGCTGGATGAATGGGAAGAACTGCTAAGATGCTTTGGAAGAGAATGCCAGAACTATACTGTTAATTCAATAAGGGCAGAAGAGGGAATCAATGGACTCTGTCATGCTTGAGTCATCCATGTGGCCACTGAGTCCCAGGAGACTCCTGGAGGGTCCCAACTTTAAGTAGGCATAGAATACCACTCAAGTAGGAAGTCTGGAAAATCTGGAAGGAAAGGCCAAGGGCTTAGCTTTACTAGCTCTTCTTGGAATCTGTGAATTCTTCTGAGGTCTTGGGGGTGAAATGGGACAGAAAATGGATTTTTACTTTTTGGGAGAATTTGAATGACTGACTATACTGGATATTGAACCTACGGCCTTTTCACAGAGCTATATCTCCAACCCTTTAACATTTTTAGATTTTGAGACAGGGTCTTGCTAAGTTGGGTGGGACTTGAACTTGTGGGACTTGAACAGGTGGGACTTGAACTTGCAAATCTCCTGCCTTCGTCACCCAGAGTTCTGGGATTACAGGCATGTGTCACCACACACAGCTTTTGGGGTGATTTTATTTTATTGTATTGTATTGTATTTTTTTTTTTTTTTTCTGGGGATCGAACTCACGACCTTGCGCTTGCTGGGCAGGCGCTGTGCCACTGAGCTAAATCCCCAGCCTTTTGGGGTGATTTTAAAAGGATTGAAAACATGTGATTTAGCCACTAAAGGACAACTTGACCTCAAAACAAACTCTATAAAAGAAACCTAACTGGTCTCAGACATTATATTTTGCAAGCTTTAATTTTAAAAAATACTGTGGGGATATTTTGGTGGCAATTCAGAGTCCTGGGTGAAAGAGTATGATGGAAATTTTTAGAAGCGGGCAGATAGATGATGTCAACAGAAGGAAAACCCCAGGTCAACACAAGTAGAGGAAAGTTGAGTCTGCAGTTATATAAGCCAAGGATAAAACCCGCTCACATGCTGCTCTGAGAAGAGGTGCTAGTGAAGAGGAGGTGGTGGAGCTAAGGAGAAAGTCAACATTTGTGAGTCAGCTGAGGAAGATACTGGACGTTGGGATGAACTGACAGGTGTGGGAATATTTGCACAGCAGTGGTTGGCTGAGACGCCACAGGCTTGAAACTGCAATAGAAGGAGCAGAAGCGTAGACTGTTTAGTCACCATGAGAGAAACAGGGGAACATGCTGGTCAGCGTGGGGATTGGGTTACATGACGAGCCTAGATCAAAGGAAGCTACTGGATTGGGAAGCTGTCTCATTTGGTCTGAGCAAGAGGATACAGGTATGGGGGATGAGCCAAGTACTGCAAACATGGCTGATCATCCCCAGCCAGTGGCAAATCAGAGAGGACAGAGGTGACAACAAGGCTACAAGTCCTTGTGGACCCTGGGTTGTATGCTCTTTCATAAGGTCCCCTCCCTGCTCACTGGAAAGGACTTCTCACTGGGTTTCAGCCTGGGAGAATGAGCTGTGTGGATCTTTCCATTTTTCTGTCTAAAGAAATAATAGTTGGGAGTATGAGACTGGAGTGCTGGAATGCTAATAGGGCTCACGTGTTTTGAAAGCTAATTACTGTGCTGGCTGCTGTGTACACTTGATCTCAACTAATTTACTGTGTCATTTTCACTGCTCCATAGATGTTAATACAGATGGCTGGGGAGATGGCTTGTCCAAGGTCACACAGGGAGGGAGGTGAAGCTAGAATTTCTACTGAGTCTACCTGATTGCAAAGTTATCCTCTCGCAGTGCCTGGCCACCACTGAGAGTTGCACATACACGTGTACTTTTTGAAAACAACACATCAGGACAAACAAAGTATGTCACCACCATTCTGAGCTTTGGGGAGAAAGGAGGCACGTGAGTAGGTTTGTCACTGTGGGAGGCAATAACATTGGGTTGTCCCCCTTGGCGTAAGTCTGCCAGGCCCTTAGCCACTCACCATGTTGTTCCAGAGTGCGATGGCCATCTCTGCGTGAGCGCGTTCTGAGAAGTGAAGACAGTCTTCAGAGAAGTAGGTGAGGTCGGTGCTCCCGAGCTGTGATCAGAGACAAGGAGGTCACCATCCTCACAGCACTGTCATCTCTCCTCCCAGCAGGTGCCGCCTTGGGCATATTTCTTGTTTTGTCTTTTCAACTCTGCTGACAACTGGTGGAATTGCTCCCAAATTTTGGAACTTTTTGGGTAGCTAAGATAACTGTACTAATAATTTCTGTTAGTTTATTGAAAGGAACTGTCAATGCTTAATTTCTTTTTTCTTCTTAATTTTTTGGACCAATTTTGCATACTTATAGCGGGTAGTCTGAGCAACTACTTTGAAGATAATATACAATGTAATAAGCATTCTTAATTTCCTATCATCTTGTTTTGAAATTCTGTATCATTTTTAAAATTTTATTTTTATTTATTTATTTTTTGTCTTTTTGAGACAGGGTCTTGCTATGCAGTTCAGGCTGGCCTTGAGGTCACTTTGTAGCTCAGGCTGGCCTCAAAGTCACAATGATCCTCCTGCCTCAGCCTCCCAAGTGCTGGGATCACAAGTGTGTGCCACCACACACGGCTCTGTATTATTTTAAATGTTTTTTCATTTTTATTCTCTTTAAAAAACAAAAAATTTAAAAATTTCGTTCAACAACAATCATAAAAAAGACATGAATTATAGCTACCCACAATCCATCTCTCTTCTGCCCTGAAAGTTGAAAAACAATAATTATAATGTTAGGAAGCTCTCCCTTCTATCCTAATCCAGCAAATATATGGGTGGCTTGGTCATTACTGATTCTCTTTCTTTCCAAGTATGTCTACATTCTGATCATAATAACAAAAAGGCCGAAAAAGCAATGCTTGGAAGCCCAAATGATAGTAATGAACAAAAAGCCCACTTGGATAAAGGAAATGCAGCCACCACCCAAGCTAACGTTCCACATGTAGCTCCTAGCAATGTCTGCAGCTCACCTCGGTCAGCGGGATGAGAGTGTTCTGGAAGAAAGGCTGCACCACAACCGCGAAGTCCTCACGCTGCATGTACTTGGGTTGGTAGGAGAACCCGGAGATGCCACTCTGGGGGTGGGACAGGCAGCTTAGGATGGGATAGGGAGGGTCTACTCCTGCTGCCTGGGCTTGGTTGTGACTGCAGTCAACCCACCCAAGACAAAGGCGACTTAAAGGAGCTACACGGGTGTGACACAAGCTCACTTTCCTCCTCCATCCTTTACTGAGCACACGCTTCCCAAGGCCTCTGCTGGCTGTCAGGGTCAGAGCTGAACCCAGGGGCCCTGGCTACAGGAGCTCCCCATCTGCACAGCCCCACCCCTTCCATTCCAAGGCCCAGCATGCTCTCACTGCATGCAGAGGCCAAATACACCCAGCTCAAATGGGGAGCATCTCAGACCAGCCCCTCAGAATGTCCATGCCCTTTGGTGGATGAGAGTCCATGGTTATTGGATTTGTTTAGTGCCAAAGTATGGAATGTAAGTGGAGTAGGCTAGATGTACTTATCCTCAAGGAGTTCATCATCCATCAGGGAAAAGGAGATAAGATGTAAAAACATAAGAACCATAGCGGACTCTAGGGTCCATCATGTGCACACTGAATTTGATCTGGGGAGAACCTTTTCAGAAGAAGAAAGCTTGTTTCCTGAATGGAGATGGATGATGCCCAGAGAGGGCAGAATAGGAGCAGAGGCACACAGGAGCAGGAGGGTGTTGGGGAAGGAATTGAAGGTAATTAGGACTTCTGTTCTTAAGGGAGGGAGGGTGGAAGGAAGTGAAGAGGTAGGAGGCAGGTGCAGTGGCTGCCATCCCTCCTCCTCCGGGTAGAGGTGTGGCCCAGGCCACAGGTTCTGAGCGGAGGGTGGACCTGATGACACGGAGTGCCCGGTGGGGCCGAGTGTTGTATCTGCTCAGGGCTGACGGGAGATTCTCCCTGCACCTTTCCCTGGCCTTGCCGTTCAGTTAGCCTGGACAAATATTTATCTGTCTTTTAGGGAGTGGCTCACTATCAATGAAGCCTGCTGAATGCACAGTTCTGAGTCCTTGCTTGGGGTTTCTGATGGAGGACAGAAGAGGATGGCGGGGCTCACCTGGACATTCCAGTTCACTTTCTTCAGCTCTTGAATCACCGGGGAGTTTGGAAAGTGTCCGAGGCAACTGCAGTTGCTCCTGAGAGATAAGAACTCTGGTGTCAAGGCTCCCCGGGGCAGCCTGGCTCTGTCCTCCTGGGAGGCTGACTCTGCCACAGGGCCCACAGGCACTCACAGGCAGCCCCACAGCATACACTTGCTGATGCTTGCCCCCAGGTCATAGAACTGTGCTTGTTGGAGGAGTTGGTACCATATTGGGATCTCCTCATGCATGGCTGCCCATTCTCTTTCTCCTTCCCACAGCCCCTGGAGTTTCTGTAGCTGGGAGGAGCTGAAATCTTGGGAAGACCACCATCTCCTTTGGCACAAAATCATTCCTCATCCTCCCGAGCCTCTCAGCTCTACCTCTGAGTGCTTATGACCCTCCCCACGACACCAAGGGCACCTACATGGGAAGTCTGTTGGGGCGCCAAGAAGGGGCGACAAGCTTGACACACCCCTGATAAGGTGGAACATGATAGCAGATTCTGAGGGGACATTTCACCTGGGGGTCCCAGCAGCTGCATGAAGCAGCTGGGTACCTTTCCATCACATCGTCTGACTTCAAATAGGACTACTCAGCCACCTGCAGAATCTCCTTCTCCATAACAACAGTCAAACACTCTAGGAGCCCCTCTGACCTCAAGAGGGCATCTTCCTGCTAGCTTCCCACTGGGCATTAAGGAATTCTAGCCCTCAGAAGAAGCTCTTGCCTTGCCCCCAGGCTCAGCTTTCAAGCATAGAACAAAAGCTCCTATTTCCTGAGAGCCTGCAGCAAGTTTTTCCTCTCAGCATCAAAACTACCTTGCAAGGAAGGCGGTACCCCTATTTATAGGCGGGGCATGGAAGAGTTACATGGGGTCTGTTCAAAGTCCCATCACTTTTCAATGGCAGAAACAAGACTTGACAGCTGGAACTGTCACCCATGCTCACTATCCAATGCTGCCTTTCAGCAGAGGGGCTCACCAAGGTTGGACTTTGGAATCACAGAAATGGTGAGGAGCACACAGGATCATTTGGTCTATTTCACTTGACAGAAAAGGCATACTGGGACCCAGAGAAATGAAGGGACTTGCAGACAGGAGGCATTCATTAATGTAGAGGCATCTACTAAGTGATTTTCTATGGTGGATAGTTACTCCCATCTACCCTCTGAATGGGCCCACCTGGCTCTCCTAGGTAGGGTACCCATGAGCCATACCCTCCCCAGGTGCCTCCCCATGACCTGCTCACTTACTGAGCTGCCAGCAGCACAGCGCATTTCCCACTGTAGCCCTGGTACAGAGTAGCAAGCTCCATGACCTCCACCACATTGATGAAAGACCTCGGAAGCTGCAGGGAACAGGGAAACGGGGTTCATGAGTCCCTAGACAGCTGTGGGGAGAGGTCACTGGCTACTGCTGGAAGGAGCCTGGGGAATTTGATTTTGTATGTGTGCTGGTAGCGTCTGAACCCAGGGATTTGTACTTGCTAGGCAAACATTTTACCACCAGCGCTATCTCCAACCCCTGGGCAATCGCCTCTAATCCAACTTTACCCTCTTCAGTTTCAATAAAGAACAAATTTCACCCTCATCGGGGTTTTACTCTCTGAGGCCCAGAGAATAAATGAGACTTGTTTGATCTCACCGATTCTTCTTAATGCTCTACTTTATCATGTGGGAAGCCGAGACACATCCCATTGCTAGTAAGCTGCAGGGCCTGGCTGAAAACCTGCTACTGTGAAACCCAGTCTTGGAGCTAGTTAGACTTGCCTCTGCAGAGGAGCTGGGGGCCACCGCCCTTCCTTACCACTCAGGTGGCCACTCATGGTGGGGCTCTACTCCAGCGTCTCACTGAACACACCAGGATGGAACCCTTCCCCGATGAGGAAGCACGCGTGTGGGCTGCTACTTTTTCCTACCTCCTCATAGAGGATGTCCAGGGCCTGTTGGATGTACTGGACATATTCCTCAGCTGAGTGGTCCTCCTGTGAAGAAGCAAAAAGGGGGCTCTCTTCAGCCCCTGGGTTCCATTCTGGGGGAAGACAAGAGCACAGGAAGGCCTTGGGGTCTTGGGTGGAGGGGGAACAGAAGCAGTTGGGTGGTCCTGGCCAGTCCTTGTTGTGGGTTGACCCAGAGTCCCCCATTAGCAGTCCTACCCTGACCCCTACTAGATACAGTGCACAGTTCCCACCTCTGCCCTAATTGACAGGGTCTCAAACCCAGATGCAGATTCTTACAGTGCTAAGAACCAACCCTTCTCCAGCTCATCTGGCACCTGATCTTAGCCTTCTCTAGCCACTCACAGGGCCGCTGATGACCACATTCTGTTTCCTTCGGGCTTTGGCCCAGGCTGGTCCCACTGCCTGGAACTCTTTGCTCTCTTGCATCTTCCTGACTTCTGTGTCTTATAACTCAGCCAAAAGTGTTCTTCCTCTGATCCACCTCCCCAGCTTGAGGCTGATCAGAGGTGCCTCAAAACACCCTGCATGATATGTATGGGGTACAGGCTCGGTGCTCATTAATAGTCCCTGATGACTCTCAGGGCTTTGCTTTATCGAGTGAAGAATGCAGTCATATTTTTGGACATGATTGGGTTCCTTGAGAGGTGTCGAGGAGACTGATCCCAGAGCGTGGGTGATGTCTGAATTTCCCATGCCAAAGAGAAGAATGCGTGTCTGCAGGAGGGAGGTCCTGGGAAGCTGCACCAGACACTAAGGCAGGAGGTGGGAGCTCAGACAGCCCATTATTTTTTTTCTTGAGACAAAGAGCTGCAGGTGCTGTGTGTTCCTTTCTGGCTTGCTGCTGGTCACAAAAAGTGCCCTGTAGGTACCTGACCATGGGTGAGGTCCTGCCCTCAGCTCCCAGAAACGGCGCTGTGATTCCAGGTGGGAGTAGAAATAAGTAAGATGACAATCACAGCGCATGAGCTGTGGGATCCTTGTCTCCAAGAGCCCAATGCTCCCCGCTTCCTCAAACCTGGCCTGAGTGACCTGCTGGTGCCTCTGGGCCCTTGTTATAAAAACATGCTCTCAGCAGTATAGACCTACTGTTCACATGGGTAACAGCTATGCTGGGGCTGCAGAGCGCATTTCCCTACTGCAAATATTCACGGGTAGCTATGGGTCCTGTCTGGGTTCAAATTAACCTTACAGTGCAGGACACAGCCATAGTTAACCCCCCAAGAGGGTGGATCCCTGCTACCTCTCCAGTCTGGACAGCAAGGGGGAAGACCCAGGAGAAGAGGCTCAAAGAGTTAACCCGTGTGTGTGTGTGTGTGTGTGTGTGTGTAACACAAGGAGCCATAAATGCCTCCTCCCCCACCCTGTGACTGTCAAACATTCTACCGCAACCTGAGTCAGGGCAGCTGCCTTTTTCTAGCCAAATAAAATACAGGAAGTCCCCAACTTAGAACAAAATGTATTCCAAAAGTTAGAGCTTCCAAAAGCCTGTAAGTCTGGACATGTTTCCCCATAGAAACATTAGGAGCAGGGCTGGGTTCTCAGGCCAGCCAGTGGAGGCCAGTTAACTTGTGATGGCCCTGAAGGGCTGTGAACCACACTAGGAGGACGGGCTGCATTTTATCCGCCCCATTTATGAGATTGTTTTGCCTCCACCCCTGCCAAAACAGGGCAGGGACTTTCAGATAGGTACAGAATAGAGAATCACTGGTCACCTACCTGGATACCAGGGACCAGTGTTTGTGTGTCTAAGAGAGTGCAATTCATCAGCAATGCTGGAAGAGTGGGTCCATCTAAGTCCTTCTGGAATTAGAGGCCACTGGGGCAGTAGCAAAGGCCTAACCTCACCTGCTGTGTGCAAACCCGGGGCTGGCTGGGAAGATTCAGGGCCTGGGAGCTCAGGCAGGTGTGACTCCCATGACAGAGGAACGTGAGACAGGGTCAGGACCCTAGCCAAGGATAATGCCAGAGGTCACCAACTTTGTTCTCAGGTCTCCAGGGGGGTTAGTCAGGGGCCTACCAGATTCTCGCAGTAATGACACAAATCGTTGCTGCCAATGAAGAGGGTGATCAGCTTCCAGTCCATCTCCAGGCTGATCTCCTGCGGGGAAGAGCCTGGGTTTAGTCCTGTGGAGGGGGTCTGTGCAGGTGGCACTCACAGGGCTACCAAGCCAGCTCCTCAGGCAGCTTTTATCCCCTTTGCCTCATAAGAGAGAAGGTGAAAGTGGGGTCTCCCTACCCTCCTGGTGCCTGGGAGGAGGAAGCTTCACAGAGAGGTGTGGTGGGGGGGTCAATACCCACAGGGGAGCAGGGTACTTTCCCTTTGCAGTGCATTTCCCAGAGCCCTTTACAGAGGATTAGCAACCCCCAGTATGGAATTTAAAGCCTTCAACAGCGCCAACAGAAAAGATGCAGCTGGAAGCCAGAGCCCAGTGTTGACTCTTAGCCGTGTCCTGCGGGCTCAGTCAGGGGAGGGAGAGGAGGGCGAGAGGTGAGGTGGGCTCGGGCTGTGTGGCCAGGCCCTCTGGCAGTGGCTTCCGGCTCACCCACCACCATAATAGGAGTTCTGCTCCATTCCAAGGAGCAGAAACACAGAGCATCTGAAAAAATGTGTGACAAGAAGTTTCAGAGGCCGGGAGATCGGGAAGGAGCATGGCTTGGAATGAGAAGTTTATTTTTAGCACCTTGCGTTTATATAATAGGACTCTGGGTAGAGGGGGGAAGCTGCTAGGGGCCAAAGCCATGATCTAGGCCAACTCTCCGATCCTCCTTGCCCTCCTGCACTCAGCTCTAGGGGCAGGCATGCCAGGCGAGCACTTGTGGCCCCCATGTAGGTGGTAAGCTGGGACAGAAGGGCTGTCACAGGACCCTGCCACCTCCCAGCAAGGACATGGCGCCTTTTGGGGGTGGTTCAGGGGTCAGTACTCACAGTGCTGGTTTTCATTCGCTCTACCAGCTCTCGGGCCTGGGCCGGCATGTCCCTAAGCAAGGGGAAGAAAGGGGACATCAGAGCTGCTCAGGAGGGCTCCAGTTTTGGATTTGCGTCTTCAGGATGCGTAGTGTTCTGCAAAGGTTATTTCTCAGAACATGTCATTGGATTGTCTGCTCTCCACAATCCCGGCCAGTCATGGATTGTGGGCTCACACTGACCCAGACCCTGCTACCTAGTATCTGTAGCCAGGACTGAGGCCTCATCGGTCATTTGGGTTGGGATTGGTCAGCCTTCCTATCAGGGATTTTCTCTGCTATATCCTCAGGCTTTATCATTGCAAACTAACCCTGTTCCTTATTCAGTTGCCCTTTTGAAAAATAATGTTTGGCCATTCTTTTAAGATTATGGTACACAGTGCATTAACTATTATTATTCTCTGTTTTGTTAGAAAACTTTTTTATTTTATTTTATTTTTGTTTGTTTTGTTTTTTTGAGACAGGGTCTCCCTATGTAGTTCAGGCTGGCCTTGAACTCATGACAATCCTCCTGCCTCAGTCTCCTAAGTGCTGAGATTACAGTTGTGTGCCACCACATCCAGTTTTGTTTTTTTTATAGAAGTACAAAATTTTTTTGTGTTTACTAATGTCTACTTAGATTACATTAAATAAAAATTTCAAGAAAAAATAATCTTTGTATTTGACTCTTTTAACTTTTACTTTAACCACTCTGCTCCTTTAGTCCTTTTGTTCCTCATCTTTGTAGTTTCCTACACTATTCCCTATCTCCCTATTCTTTTTTTTTTTTTTTGTCCCTGCAACAAAACAGGATTAGTTCTTCCTTCATCTCCTAGATGTCTGCGTAAATAAGTCATGGCTATTGGTGTTCTGGGTAAGTTATATGCATGTCAGTGAAACACTATTCAGCAATAAAAAGGGGATGAACCATTGCTACACTCAATAATAGGGATGAATCACAGTGTCTCAAAATAATTTTGCTGGACAGAATAAAGCCAATTCCACCAACTGCCAGGAGCACTTATTCTTCGATTCCATTTACATAAAATTCCAGAAAAGTCAAACTGACCTATAGTAACAGAAAGCAGGTTAGTTGCCTAGGGCCTGGGGAGGAGTAGAGGCAGGAACAGAGGGACAGATTACAGAGGGGAAATTACAAGGAAACTGCTGTGGGTGATGGACATGTTTATTATCTTGACCGTGGTGATGGCGCCACAGGTATGTACCTATGTCAGGTCTTATCACATTGTATGCTTTTAATGTGTGTACTTTATTGTGGCCAAATATATCTCAATAAAGCTGTTTCCTTAAAAAGATATGGAGATGAGAAGTTAAGTCGGCACTGGGCGACACAGTCAATGGAATCTTCCAGCGAAGAAGCCATAAACGAAGTAACTGATAAAGGAGAGCCGTTTAAAACCTTTGTGCAAGCTGGGCATTGAGCAAGCCCTGCCCCGACCTTACTTCTCATTAAGGAGAAGGTCCACATCTGGAATCGTCTCCTGTATGCTACTGCTATTGATGGGCATATCAGGAAGTCAGAAAGCAAGTCTGTCCTGGGTAAAGGTGACCACAGAAGTATCTATAACCTTTTAATAGGTTCAAGACATGACTAAGGGAAATAGTCACGAATAATACATAAACCCTCAAGGGCTTGAAGGGGAAATGAAAACTGCCTATGTCCTCCCTCTTCCTAGCCAACCCTTCAGACCAAGTTCTGGCTTCTTATGAGCCTTTGCTCTGAGCCTGTTTATCACTATCTTCTCCATTTCCTTCTTCGTTCCAGGGCTCAGGGCTTCTCTTTTTTCAGCTCTGCTGAGTGAGCTTGCATTGGGTACTGAGTCCTGCTTGCTGGGGTGACTTTTCACCTTGTAGAGCAGGAGGTTGGGTTAAACGATTTCAGGAATCCTGCTGATTGTCATTCACTCCATCAGGTCCTGGGCTGGAGACATCTGGGCGAAGACTGCCCAGTTCTGTTCTCCTCACTGTACTCTATGACTCAGTATCAATTTATTTCAGGTCAGCAGTGTTGCCATATAAACACTAACTTTACCCAAAAGTTCTTCCTGTTTGCTTAGTGTCCTTAACTAAAGCACAAGCTCTTTGTAAACAAGTTCACGTTTAGATTCTTTTGTATCTTGCAGTAACCAGACAGGAGTTCAGTCCTTTGCAGGTGTTGAATGAATTCTAGCTTATTGGTTGATGGAAGGGACATTGGCTATTGAATAACACTTAAAATTAAATATCCTAATAATGGCAAGTTTGTGCATGTATATTGTGTGCTGTACTAAATTCTATCCAAGGACTATGGATCTCATTCAATCCTTACGACAATCGTGAGAAGCAGCTCCTATTATCATCCCTGCTTATAGATGAGGAAGCTAAGATTCAGAGGTGCTAAGCAACTTGCCAAGCTAGCAGAGATCTGAGCTGGGATTTGGAAAAGATGGTCTGACCCCAGACCTCAGGATCTTAGGTACTCTGTGTGGTATTTATCTTTCTTTAGGTAAATTCAGCCTTATTCACACAGAGAAGCAAGAGAGGAGACAAAGGAAAGTCCCAGAGCAATTCTCTAACCTTACTTAAGTCAATGGCTTATTCTCGTTTTCCCTAACACTGGACATCAGAGATGTCTGCAGGTCTCAGCTACCTCTTCTGCCCCTGACCTTGACCTGGTGGAGATGCTGAGCAGCAGTAGAATAAACAAGGCAGTGAGAGAAGGGACTTGAGAAAGAAGCTTGAATTCCAACAGACTGAGAAATCAAGCCCCGCCTAATGAATCCTGGGCTGAATAATAATAATAATAATAATAATAATAATAATAATAAAAATAGCAATCAGATGTGAGTAGAGTGGCCCCACAAAGCTCAATTTTTTTGCAGAAATAGAAGTCCTTCCTGCTCATGTTGAGGAACTGAGATGGTTTCCTGTGGCTCAGAGACTGAACCAGAGCTTGAGGCTCAGTTGCGGCTTCACAAAGGAACGTTGCCTGTAAACAGAGTGAATCAAGCCAGTGTCGTTTCCCTGGTGATCTGAGCATAGCGGAAACTCCTACAAAGCAAATACCCAGCACGCTCCATGCAGAAAATCAATGAACCCGGTCAGGCATTTCAGCTTTAATTATCTGCGTTGTTGTCAACACCAGAGATCTCAGTGAAAACAAACAGCCACCCTGCTATTTGGAGGGTCCTAACACCTAACTCCCTACTGTTAGAGTATAGTCTTTTGCAGTCAAAGACTCAAAGTCCTGAGGCAAGGCGGGGAGGAGAGGAAGGTAGACAGTCACAGGGTCACAGATGGAACCTTTCATAGTACTGAGAGCTGTCACGGTCGTGTAACGGGTGCCTTTGCTGGACAGGAGGTGGTGTCGGCAGGGACAGTGCCTGGGGCAGAGAGATATTTTCCTTCTGCTGCTGCCTTGGAGGAGCTGGAACATCATAGAGGTTAGTGCTGCATTCAGACACAGTCAGATCCTAGCTTATCTAATGGCTTGATGGGTGACCTTGGCTGTTTACGAACCCTGCAGAACCTCAGTGTCCTCATAGTGTCCATGTCCAAAGGTGTAGGAATTATGTGAGACAACCCACACGGAGGGTTTGGTGCAGGGCTAGCACACAAAAATGCTCCATGCACGGCTCTTATGACCCATAAGGGACGAGGTCCTCCTTCCTGCCTCCTTGTGCTTCCCACCTGGATTGCTCCGCCTCCCTCATGTACCCAGGGCCACTCACCTAGCTTGGGCCCCTTCCACTGCTACATTGAATCCTGCTGTCTCCTCCCAGGTACCAGTGGAGAATCCAACGATGGAAGGGTTGAACTTCTTCAGAATGTCTTTGGAGGGGGACAAGGGAGAGAGTACAGGTGAGAGAACACCAGAAACTCAGGTGGGCTGCAGTCTAGAGGCACAGGTGTGGGGCAGGAGGGTTCTGGCTTTTCCAGGACAGACTGATTTTTCTCCCTGCCAATAACTTGCTCATCCCTTCTCCCCGGCAGAAGGTCCTGGCCTCACTGAGGGTTGTGACAGCCATAGTGACAGTGCTTCTTGGGGGGGCTACTTACTGGGCAGTGTGGTCTGGGTCTCCAAAGCCCCATCTCCTCCAATGCTAGGAAGAGCAAATGTCTTTGTTAAAATCACCCTGACCTGCTGCTCTGTGTGTGGTCACACTAGAGTTTCTGGCCCTGGATCATCATTCCCACCACCCTTGGGGATAGACAAGCATCACAGAGTCTCCTCAGAACTTGGAGCTGGGTTATAGGGACCCTGCTTCATCCCTGGAGACAGGAGAGGGGAAACACACTCCCTTTTGGGAGAACAAGCATTGTTGGGGCTGGGGATTTAGCTCAGCAGCACAGCGCCTGCCTGGCAAGCGTGAGGTTGTGAGTTGGATTCCCAGTACCAAAACACCAAAAAAACAAAAAAACAAAAAGGAAAACAAGCATTGTCTACAGAGAATGAGCTGAGAACATCCTCACCTCCAGGACAGCCCCCTCCAGGATGTAAGCAGGTCACTGGAGTTGCTGACTCGAGCTCCCACTGCTGTCTGTGAAAAGCAAACAGAAGCTTCCAGGCTGCTGTTGGGTCAGGATGCGGGGCTGGTATAGGACCTGGATTTGCCTTTTCTGGCAGTGGTAGCTGCTCTTCTCCAGGCCACTTGAAGCTCTGAGTTATCACATTCTTCTCCCTAGGCCTCTTCCAACTACCAGGAACCAGGTTGTGCAGATTCCTTCTTCCTGATGTGCTGTCCCTCTCCTTTGCTCCCTTTGCCACTTCCCTGGTTGAGACTCTTGTCTCCCTGGATGGAAAATACTCTGCCTCCTTCCCAACCTCATGGTCTCGCATCTCCGTTCCCCTCCCAACAACAGGGCTGCCACCCGCTCCTCTGAACACATCTCTGTGCACCCTCCAGCCCTTCAATATTTCCCTTACATTGAGGGTCAAGGCCAGCTCCCATCACCAATGTAGACACCATAATCTGACGTCTACTTTCCTTCCTTTCATCTACTCCCTCCTTCCCTGTCCACACAAAACTTTCATATCTGGGCACATTGATCTGTCTCTGTTTCCCAAGCAAGAGGGCCTCAAGTTGCTCTGTCCCAATCCCCACCCGCTCCATTCTTCCCAGAATGCTGAACATCCTCCTTTCCAGCCCCCTCAGCCCCTTAATTCATTCACTAAAATGCTCTTTGATTCCCGCTGCCTCTGTAAAAGCTTTCTCTGTATGCTGTCTTAAAATTCTTCTTTGAAATTCACAGAAGTAACACATATTCAACAATCAGTGAAACAATACAAAGATTTAAAAAAATAATAATAATAATCTACTCCCACCTTAAGAATCTTGTGCCTGATGCAGAATCCACATCCACATCCCCACCCCCATACCCCACCAGGGTGAAATCATGGTTATAAGCCTGGCGAGTTTTCTTCCATACATTTCTCATCTTCGTACCAAAATGAAAGCACCTTCACACATGTGGGGGTGGCTTTGTTTCCTTAGAAATGAATACTGTATTTTGAAAGCCCTGTGATGCCACCCATGTGATCACACATCTCTTTCTGAACACATTTCTTTTGTCCTGGCCAGACAGGTTTTTGGAGGGCTCTGACTGTGCTGCATCCTTCTTTTTCTTTTTTTTAGAATTGCTGATGGAGCATCAGGCACACAGCAATAGCTAAATAGTGGGCTAATGCTATGCTAATGCTCACAGTGGGACCGCTCCACAGGCCAGGAATTGGTCTCCTGCTGCCTCGTGAGCTGGGGACACTGGGCAAAGTGTGGGTGAGACTCTTTGTGTCTGGGTGGGTGGAGATGAATGTCCTGATAAAGGCAGGCAGTGTGTGTAAGCGCCACAACACATGGATGAAATGCTTGGGAAATTGCTTCTCCCAGGGTGTGGGGGCCCTCGTGGAGGGTGGAGTTTGAGCAGGACGAGTGAGGGAAGGTGTGGGGCTCAATGCCAAATGCAGAGCCAGTGCTGAGAAGAGCTGGCTCTGCACAGGGCCTGGCTGGCTCCAAGCCCCCCCTTCCCCCCAGGCCTACGGCTCAGTACTCACAGTCAGCGAGTCACCCAGGGCTGCAACTACTTTGATGTCTGCTGGTTGGAGCTTGTGGACTAGGAGAGACAGGCACGAAGACAGATGGTTAGGGCTGAGGGCTCAGCCAAAGGTTGAACTTCACCAGAGCCTGGAACTTTGCTCCAGTCCCCCAGGTTCCCATGGCTCTTATTTCTGGTTTAAGGCTTTAGCAACTCTGCCCCTTCTACTTATTCAGAATGACCAACCCCAACAGTCATGGGCTTGGTGGATCTCCTCCTCCCTGAGAGGAGCCAGCTCGCACTGGGTCCAGGAAAGTTTCAGCTGCAGGGTCACACGGCATGGGCAGCGAGGGCCCCAACTCCTGACTGCACCCACTTCACTAGGCAGGGAAGCCTGGGGGGCTGCCACTGGGACTACAAGGAGATGAGAAGTATAATTTGGTGAAGCAGCCCATGTTCCTCCTTACAGGAGCCCAGTGGTGGCCAAGGGCCAGTTCCTTGGAGCCTCCCAGGGTCTAGGTCTATTATATTACATGGGCATCAGCAAAGCCTGCTGGAAGTTCCAGGTGGGTCTGAGGGGTCCCCACACCTGCTGCTTTGCAAGGCGCTTTGGTGAGGGGGTGATGCTGTTTTCACTCACCTGAGGTGGGGATGCTATTGGAAGGATTCCACTCTGTACACAGGAAGTCACTGCCCCAGTTCTAAATCAACAGGAGAAAAGACACAAGGCCAATATCCACTGAGCAGAGAGTGCTGGCCCAAGAACAGCCAGCTAAGGGGGTTTTGGCAAACACTAGGAATTTATTGCTGTGGGGGTTCATGGAGGGTAAGAGCTGCTAGTTGTAGGTGGGCGAAGAGGGAAACTGGAGGAGAGAAATGGGTGTCTGCCTACTTCCATGTATCCACCCCCTCTACACACAGGTGCACATCCACTCAACCCTCCCATCCTGACTCATCTACACTCTTGAATGGAGCCAGCAGCTGCCCCCAAACATGTGGCTTCCTGAAGGAATACAGGATATGAGTACCAAATACAAGATTATAGGCATGCCTCTGTGTTAACACTAAGCCAGTTTGCACTAATTATAATGCTAGGGCCTAAGCAATCATTAGTTAAAATATTTTTAGGAGAAGACAAAATTTTTATAATTGCAGAAATCCTGGGTTTTGCATATCTTTTCTGTATACCTGTGTGTATTTTTGCGTATTTAATTTAAGAGGCACCAATTCCTTATAAGTTTATAAACAAATACCTATAACCCCATGTACTTTTTTTTTGTTTGTTTGTTTTGTTTTGTTTTGTTTTATTTTTTCTCCGGTACCGGGAACTGAACTCACGACCTTGCGCTTGCCAGGCAGGCGCTTTTGCCGCTGAGCTAAATCCCCAGCCCCTAACCCCATGTACTTGTGACAAACTTTCCCTGTCTCTGTAATACAGGGCATACTTTCCAGATGCTTAGGTAGCGGGTAGGGGTGGGAAGCAGAGGGCACAGAAATGGCTAGAATCCAGAAAGCTGATGAGACCTGAATCTGTGTCCCCAAATCCCAAATATCTATTGCTAGATGCACAGGAAGCCTCCACTGACAGGTTGGTTCTCTAGGGGTGTGACTGCCAGAGGCCTTGGAAGCTCAGCTCATCTGTTCAGGCGGCTGATAGTGAAGACAAGCTTTGTTAAACTATCCCTATCATGGGAGAGTGAAAATGAATCTTTTAAATATTATTTGCCTAATCTAATGGAACTTAGTTTATTCCAAAGGATTGCTCAATTCAACACACCAATAGATTTCTTCTTCTTTTTGGAAGTTTTACTGAAATCCAGCATAGACTTATGGGCAAATGACAAATACTCTGAGAAAACACACTTTAAAAAACAATATAGCCATCAGCACCTTGGAAATATCTTCAATCATTGTGGATCCAGAGATAAGCACATTCCGTGTATATTAACAGACACATCCTGGAACTTGAACAAGATCATCTGTCCCAGGAGGAGAACCACATGCTGCATCCTAAACCAGGGCTTCCTAGTCCCCTGGGATCTTGTAAAAGTGCAGAGTATGATTCCATAGGACCAGGATAATGCCCGGATGCTGCGTTTCTGACAAGTTCCCAGGTAAGAATGATGTTGCCTGTCTGGCTGCTTTAGGCAGGTAGCTATTTGTAAACTTGGGTTTTTAACTTTGCAGCAGAGGAAGCAAGGCTACATGAGAACAAAGATCCAGGAAGTCAGGCCTAGACTCACTCTGCTCGCCACTGTCTACCAGTAATTAGGACAGCACTTGCTCTGTGTATGCACCCAGTAAGTAAATGTGAAATAAATAAATGCTGATTGACAAGACATAGCTGATATTTCAAGATGTATGATAGAATTTTGTCAGTGGATTCAACTAGGACAAAACTCCATTGGACTAATGTGAACCAGAGAGAGTCCAAACTAAAGATAGCAGAGGTCCCAGCCATAGGGCTGTTATTGCTAATACCCTGGAGCTTAGCAACTGTTCTTTAATAATTCCAGATAGGTTAGTTTTGACTCTTAATTTGACTTGGAAAAAGCTATTCCCTAATCAGTGATCTCCAGTCTGTTCTCCACATAGTCATCAGGGAGATTTCTTGAAGATGTGGACCAAGCTACTTGTGGTGGTGCATGCCTGTAATCCCAGCACCCTGGGAGGCTGAGGCAGGAGATTCAAGCCCAGCCTAGACAACTAAATGACTTAGCAGGACCCTTTCTCAAATTTTACAAAAAGTGTGGGGATGTAGCTCATTATGAAGGCTCTGGGGTTTAATCCTCAGTATCACCATGAATGAATGAATGATGTGAACTAGATCACACCACCCTCTCCTAAAACTTCCAATGGCTTCCCATCTGACTTCCAACCTTTGTACGCAGGAATTCAGGCTCTGTGTGATCTGGCCCTGAACACACCTCTGATTTCATTTTCTGTATTCTCCCCCTCATTCGGCCCCCCTCCCCCATCCACTCTGACCTCTTTTCTCTTTGTCAAATACATAGAATTCAGCCCCCTTTCCGAGTCTTTGTGATCTCTGGTCCTTCTGCTTGGGACTGTGTTTCTGTCTCTCTTTATGGCCAGCATCTTTTCATCTTGTCCATCTTAGCTCAGATCACCATCCTCAAAGAAGTCCAGCCTGCACCATGTGTCTGAACCTGCCACCCTTCTCCTGGCCCTGTCATTCTTTCTCAGATCACCCTCCTCTGCATTACTATGTGAAACAACTGTTTTTAGCTGTTTACTGGGTACCTTCCTCAGCAGATTATAAACTTCATGAGAGCTGGGACCCACCTGTCAGGTCTATTTCTCTAACTTCCCAACACAGTGCCTGGCACATAGTAGATCCTCAATAAATGGCTGTAGGATCTCTACTGGGCTTTATGTGCCCCAGGTAAGGACAGTGTGTGATCTCTCTCAATCCCCACCAGCACCTAGCATAAGACTGGCATGAAACCATGGGTGTGAAGCTGAAACTGGTGGCTGAGCCTCTGTCCTGGTGGCCAGTGGACATGGTCTATACCAGCACTGCCCTGCAAGGGTTGATATGGTCGAGGAGCCTGCAGGCATCTTGGTAGTGGAAGTCCCTGAAGCCCTGGGCCCTGAATGCTCAGAGTGGGATGACTGACTTGAACCAAGAAGGCCTAGGGGTCTGTGCAGTTGAATATGTGTCAGCTTCCTGCTGGGCCCTGCCTCTGGCACTGAGAGTCCTTCCCATTCCCTTTCCACCTTTGAGAAGCAGATGGCAAGCCACACCCACTGCCTCCTCTCCGTCTCTTCTTGAAAGTCTGAGCTGCCTCACCAGAAGCCATGTTAGTGAGCACAGGATTGCAAAGGTCAAAGGCACTTCCTCTGATTGGTCACTGACATCAGGTAGGCAACTTGAGAACATGTTAGGGCAGTGCTGGGTCCTCACAGTTCAGGAGTCTTTTTTGTACATTCCAATTCCCCTTATGTAAGAGTACGTTTCTGCTTAAGTGAACACTCCAAAAACTGTGCCACACCCCAAGCCCCTGGCAGGTGGATGCAGCTTGTGTCTAAGAGGCAGACATGACTCAGAGGTTACCTCAATGGTTGGCTTGGTGGGGTACGTGTAGTCACTATTCTGGGGGGTTCTCAGGAAGGGCTCCTCCTACAAGAGAAAATAATCCATACAGACAGGTTACCTGACAGTACTAAAGATTGCTTAAGCAGTAAAAATCCTGCCGTCTAGATTTAACATGGTTCTTTTGCATTTAAACAGAAAGAACTGCGTAAACATAATTTCATTCATTCCCTAGAGGGCTTTACATAACAGCTCTGGCAAGGGACGTGCAGCAAAAGACTTCAGAAGGGTTCTACATGTATTCCAGTCTGGGCTTTTGTTTTCACCCTAGCAACAGAACATCTCCCTGATTCTCCAATTTTTACCTCTTTTCTTTCCTTTGTCATTTCTCTGGCAGGAGAGTCACATGTCAGCATTTTTTTCTTTTCTAGGAAGTGTTCTGATTATCAATATATTTTATTATCTGTTCTTGTTTTCCTTTCTGCCTCCTTTGAACTATGTGTTATGTGCTCTTTTGGTTGGCTTCCTATAGTTACGGGGCTTTTTTTTTCCTTGTGAAATATACTTTTAATTCTCTGCTTACCTATCTGTTTCACAATCAGTTTCCATACAAGTCCAGTCTAGATTCCAGGCTACCTAATTGCAGGTGATGGGTTCATCAGAGAAGGAAGAAAGCATACAAAGTGGAAACGGAGGAAGTAAGCTAAGGAGAAAACGTAAAAATTACAGTAAGGCAAGATCAAGTTAGTATGACTCAGATCAGGAAATATCTAAGTGGGCACAGAGCTAGGAACACTCTCAAAAGGCACTTATGGAGTAGAAAGGCCATAGTCTGAAAGTTTGGGAATAGGAAAAGAAAATCAAAACATTGAAATAAAAGTCTGTAGTGATAAATGGCAGTGTTTGAAAACTAACCACTCAGGGGTAAATTCCATCAGATATTTTAATGCACTGAGGAGGAACAGGGGAGAAACTGAGGAAGGAGGAGGAAGATGAGGGGGAAGAGACCTGGGATCCAAACGCTCTCGGAAGGGACGTGCTTTCTTCTGTTCCTACCATAACCACTTCATCTCATCTCACACCTGACCCCATGTACACAATCGTATTCCAGCATGGCACTGCAGACACCTGGATTCGCAACTTCCAAATGCCCCCATTTTACAGATGAGAAACACCTGAGGCCCAGATGGGGCAGGGACCTGTTCCAGGTTAGAGACAAAGTAGTTCTAACCTGGACTGGCCTCTTGCCTGGTTCCATTCCTCACCTTAGGACCAGGCCAACAAAAGACCCATAGGACAGACACAGAGGGTCACTTTGGAGGACAAAATTTATATGCATACAGCTTTCAGTCCCCAACATAGACATGCTCCCCTGGGGCACTTGACAAGCCTCCCCTTTCCTCTGAGTCTTGGCATTCTTGTCTGGAACTGGGCCAGAGGCCATCCTTCCAGGGACACGCACTTGAGGCCAAGGGCAAGACAGAGAGGGCTCTCGGTGGCCTGTCTGCATGGCTGCCTGCCCGTCCCAGGTAGTATTGTTCAGCGTGCACTGAACAGTTACTCAGAGAAGGGCATTCTGGGAGCCTCCTATAAAAAAAAATGGGGCCACTCCTGTGTTCAGGGTAGGGTTGCCAATGGGAGGATGAGGGGAGGGCATAAGAGTCTTGCTTTCTAGGCCGGCAAGGAGATGGCCCAAGAAGCTCTGAGACAGGAAGGCATCCAAGAACAGTGGCCCAGTGAGTGCAGCGATGCTGAGGGGCTACTGCAGGATCAGAGAACTGCACTCCTTAAAGATGGAGGGGGCTGCTAATTATGATTGTCCCTGTACAAAGGAGCCCCAACTGGGCCCAGGGTCAGGGGCTGGAGCTGGTTCCAGACTCACCAGCAAGGGAGGAAGCAAAAGCAAAGACATACCCTACCCTTCTGGGAGAGCGAATTTGATCATATGTATTTGATTAGAGGCTCCATGTGTTGGGGGAGAGTAGATAGCCCTGAAGGGGCCAGAGGTCAAGGAGACACTGGAATGCCGTGGGGAATGAGAACAGGGGCCAGAGCGATGGCAGATAGGTGAGCTGGGTGTCAGGCACTCATTTTTATTGACCATGGACTGAGTGATTTAAAGACTAGGGGTGTAGCAGATTCTGAGGAAGAGGTATTAAGGGGACCTGCCTGGCTCTCGAGGGGGCTGGGAACATGAACAGGTAGTAAGCGAATGGGGCACAGGGAATCAGTCTAGTTCCAGCTACCCCAAAACAACAGCCTGCCTGGGAGGCAGAACCAGATGGCCACCTGCTTCAAGTCAGCAGCGTGAGTCAGGGGCTGTGGGACGAGGTCACCCTGGCTACATTACTACGTATCAAGTTCCGCAGAGAAGGAGCGCTGCTTTTCTTCTGCTCTGTGCTGCTTGAGTCAACCCAGATCGGACAGTCGCCAACTCAGAGGGGGCCTCATCCCGAGGAGGAATGTCTCCACGAGGTGAGGGCCAGCAGTCACATCTGAAGTGTGTGGTGGAGGCCCACAGTGGGAGGTGGAGCGGGGAAGGGGGCGCAGCAGCATGCCGTGGACTGTGTTCTGCTGTCGCTTCTCCCACTTCTTCCCACCTGTGCAGAAAGTGCTGCTCTTTGCCCGCAGATGGCACAACCTGTGGAGCATGACTTCAACAAGTGTGCAAGTTGGAGTGTAGGTGTCACTGCTCTGGGAGGGACACTGTGCAAGAGCCTCGTTACTGTACGGGAGAGGGCGTCAACCATCTGTAAGTCCTGCCTCACTGAGATCCTGATTCTGTTACAGTGATGGGATGGTGCGGCCAGACAACTACACGCAGAGCAGGGGGGCCTGAGCCTGCAGTGGCTGTGGAAATGGGAAGGGTGGCAGGGCAGGGGCACTGGGAGGAAGCCCATTAGATCGGGTGCCAGCGATAGCGCAGACAGAAATGGAAGTCAGAAGGAGCACAGAGTTTGGGAAAATGGTGGCTATTTAGACATTACTTGTTTGACTATTTTTTTTTTTTTTTTGTCTTTTTGAGACAGGGTCTCGTTAGGCAGTTCAGGCTGGACTTGAGCTCACTTTGTAGCCCAGGCTGGTCTCAAACTCACAATGATCCTCCTGCCTCAGCATCCCGAGTGCTGGGACTACAGGCGTGCGCCACAACGCCAGGCTGACTAATTATTTTTTGAATGAATGTTTGCTGAGTTACCGATGAGGGTGGGGCTGGGCAGGATTAAGAAGATTTAGAAGGTGTGAGCATTAAAAAGATAATACTGACCTCTCTTAACTCAGCAGAAAAAGTGCTAACCAATAAAGGTTAAGGGAACCCAACAACAGTTTCTTTTCCCTCTCATGATAAAAGATAGAACAAAATATCTGATGTTATTTCAGCCCTCTCCCCTTTCCTCCTCCTTTCTCTCTAGTTCTCTGACCTCACATTTAATCTACTTTTTGGGTAACTGTGCACCAAAGGAGGGACCTTTCAGGGGAAACTTGGACTGGGACATGAAGACAGAAATTGAAAGACGGAGAATCCAGAGATTGAGGAAAACCAAGAAATGGAAAAACCTCAGGGTTACAGGATGGAGAGAGGGGGGAAAAAAAAAACCAGAATAGAACTGAGCCATGAACGTTGGAGGTCTACATTTTCAGGATTAGGAGAAAGGAGAGTCATTAAAAGAGATGAGAGGGGGCAGCACCCAGAAAAACAGAAAACCCAAGGTGTTTTAGCATCCATGAGCCCAGGGAGAAATACATTTTGAGGAAGAGGGTGGTTAACTTTGACAACAGAGGTCAAGAAGAATAACAGCTGGATAAGGACGGAGCTGATCTCTCAGATGGTTCAGCCAGCTGCACTGGGCTTAGGGAAGGAGTGGACAGAGAGCCAATAAAATCAGGGAAGGAAAAACAATCCCAGTCCACTGGGCTAATCCAAAATTGGGCTGTAAAACATCTCGTCTAACCTGAAAATGCAACAGAAATCCAGGTGCTGCCCAGCTGCCTGACTGCATGGCAGAAGGTACCGTGCGGCAGTGTGGCTGGCGGTTGGGGAGGAAGCAGAAGGCTGGAAAAGCTCCTTAGTGCTCACATCCATCTCGGCTGCTGCCTCCCTGTGTTCTGCCTGTTGCTTCTATGTTTAGACACAGCTAGGGCAGAAATTATGTACTGCCTGTCCCCTGTGGGCTCACACAGAGATGCCGGTGGACTTTTGCATGACTTCAAGGCACATGGGAGGAAGCAGATGGCACCTGAGGCACAGCACAATGAAGCTAGCCTGGCCAACAGATGGACCCTCCTGGAATGGGCTCCAGGGTTGCATAGCAACAGCTTCTCCTAGGTGGGGTTTTTACTGGCTCTAGGAGGCTGGGTTTCTCCTTGGCTCACCAGTGGGTTCACTGGGTTTCACTCAGCTCACCAGTGGTTCCACAGGGAGGGGCTGAGCCCCTGGAGATGCTGGGTGGAGTATCTCCCATATGGGGCTCCCTGCCTGGTCTGGTTTTGAGGTCCATGGTGATGCAGATCTCCCTGACCCAGTGGCTAGACACCAACTTGGTAGTTAATATATATTTTTAGGAGAAAGAACAAAAGATAGTTGCTTAGTGTGAATTATTATTTTTACTATTTAATGAAAGCAGGGTTGGCAATTAGGAAAGGGTCCTTCGCGGCTGATATTCAATATGGCCCACGTGAACCATAAAAAGATTAAAATACTTACAGTTATGCTTTGAGTTTGCAAAACTCCCACTACCTAAGTTGCCCCACCTCTCCCTGTACCCTCCTAAACATCCGCAGGCTCTAGCAATTAAAGCGTTTCTATGTGGCACATGGGGACCATGCCCACGCTCTGGCTTGCCCGAGGCTATCTGGACTGGAGGCACCCACGAGGCATTGGTGGTTGCATGATCCCACTGTCTTGCTCTAATCCCCAGACCTGGCAAGTGAGCTGCGTCACAGCACATCCATGTGTTCCTGCTCTCCTGGTGAGGCCGAGGGACATCAGACTGAGCCTGGGCCCAAGGCTGGGATGGAGAAGGCAGCAAAGGCAGCAAGGGTCTGGGCACAGGCATCCCCTCTGCTTGGGTCCCAGTGGACACATGGGGGAGCTGCAGGCCTGTGCCCTGGCTCTGCTCAGCCAAGAGGAGAGGAGAGGAGAGGAGAGGTTGACGCTGCCCGACCCAGGAGGGAAACCCAGCCTCCCTGTGTAGGTCAGGCCCTCTGCTTTTATTGCCACTGCAGGCTCTATGGCCTTGCCCTTATTTGGTTAAAAAGCTGTAAGACAGAAGCTGAAGGCAATGGGAACGTGAACCTCCCCCAAGTCCTAGGCCTGAAATCATGCTTAACAACCACCACTCTCATATTCCTCCTTAAAAGGATCCTGAGCTGTTCCCACCCTGACTGCAGGCTACGCGGTCCTCTTCTGCTCTCTCGCACACAGCTCGGACTCTCCCTGTGCTACCCTCTCTAACCCTCTCCTGGCTAGGCACGCTGCAGTCCAGGCTTCACGCTTTCTGAACACCACTTCTGAGCCTGCCCAGTCTCTTGCTGCATCCTCTCACCTACAGCAGATGGTTCTAACTGCCCCAAAAGCTGCTGCCAAATTGAGCCATCTTCTGGCTCCTGTCCTCCTCCTTGAGACCCTTGCTACATCCCCCAAGCCCTTCCCTCCATGGGGGCCCAGCTGCTTCGCCCATCCCCAAAGAAGCAACTGCTTCTGCAGTGTCTTCTTATCAACCTCTCTCCCTCCTCCAGTCCAGCTCCCCTCCCAGCCACCATCCGCACCCCAGATACAGGATGGCCAGTGGGGTAGCTGGTAGGGGACAAGAGGGTAGACAGGGCCGAGTTCCGGTTCTGGGGAGGAACAAATACCTGGGTGGGGCAGGACAGGGGGATATCTGCTGTCAGGTCCAGGGTATCGGTTTTCTTTCCCACTGGTTCAAGCTGATCAGGGAAGAAAAGAAAGTCAGCAGCAGACCCATTCCCTGCAGCATCCCACACAGGAAGTCTCAGGACTTAACTTCGGGGGTTTTGGTTCTGCCACTCCTTGCTCTGCCAGTTGCCCACTGTGGGATCCTGGGCAAATTACTCAACTCCACTGAGACTTGGCATCCTCAGAAATTCATAACACTGCTCTTGCTGGGAAGGGCTAAGATGAGATCCCACAGCTTGAACTGCAGAGCACAGGTGTGGGCACATAGGAAATGTTGACCGAATGTGGGGTTTCTGCCTGACCTTTCCATAGAGAGCTTCCCTCATGGTTCCAAGCACCGAAGAGAAGATGTTGTGAAACCCAGGCCATGCAGACCCTTCACAACTCCTGTGTTCCATGCTATAGAATTTGTCCCCCTGTTTGTTTGGTTTTTTTTCCCAGTACTTGGGATTGAACCCAAACCCTTTGCACTGAACTACTTTTTTTATTTTTTATTTTGAGAGTCTCGTTAAGTTGACCAGGCTGGGCTCAAACTTTCCATCTTCCTGCCTCAGCCTCCCAGAGTGCTGGGATTATAGTCATGGGCCACTATGCTTGGCCAAGGGCCTGGCCCTTTTACAGGGGTTCCTACTTTGCTCTAGATTAAAGCCCCAGCAATACTCCACTTATCTTACCATGTTGACCCAAAGGGCTCTAGAGAGTTGAGAGTGGAACTTCTGGCTTGGGTGGATACAGTCTGGAGCAAAGAAGGAGGTATCTGGACGCCCGTCCTAAAAGAGACAAATATCCTTCCTCATCATCCTACCAGGTAAGAGGAAGCCTCGGCCATTGATCTGACCCCTGGGACAGCCCATGCAATCCCCTGCTCCCCTGGGAAGGTTCCAGGTCACCTTTTCTACAAAGTCTGCTCACTTTAAGTGGGAGACAAAAGCAGATCCACACATAACCCTAAGCCTCCACCCTCTTTTTGTCTCTACATTTTCCCCTTACTTAATAAAATAGTGTTATGTTATTTTTGGGCACATGTGTATAACGCCCCAGCTATGGCTATAGACTAGTTCCCCACTAGACCAGCCAGGCAGGGGAAAGTGATGTCCCAGCTGCAACTCACTGGTCCTGGTGGTGGTGGTGGGGGAGAATAGAGCTGAACCAAGCCTGGGCAAAGCTGGCACCAGGGTAGGGTGCCACCTGGCTTCAGCTTTTCTCTCTTGTGGCACTTGGGGATGCACAAAGTCTATTCTCCTGGCTTCCCTCCAACTAGGCGAGGCCCTTGGAAGGAGGCGTCCACTTGCTCCACTCACAGATCTCTTCTGTTCTAGTGGAAGCACCAGGTAAAGAGCGTGGCCAAGGGTTAGAAACATAACACCAGGACCCTCCTTTATAATTGTAGCACTGCATGCGATAGAGACCTTGTGTGTGGTGGGAAGTTAATAACGTGGGGTTAGATACCTTTGAATCTTGCTTCTCTGTGCCTTATTACCTACCTTTTTAGGAGTCTCATGCTCTACCCACTGAGCTAGCCAGGCACATACCTAACTTTTTAGAAGCAAGGGTCTTCTGATTTTAGGGAGGATATGAGGATGATAAAACATCCAAAAATAGGTATTATAGAGGGTTCTTCCTGGTCCTCATCACAGCCCAAGAAGATTATATTTGTAATCCCATGGAAAAGTTATTGGAATTGTAATGAGTTAATTCCAATCTACCACTCCAGGGCAACCCACAGCATAAGTAAAGACACAATAATATATCCAAAGTGGCAAGGAGTCAAGGGGGTCCTGAGTCCGGCCACAGTGGTGGGTATCCAGAACAAAGGCCTTTACCCAGGACCGTACCTGGATTTTATTCATTCATGAAGAAGGGAGTAGCTTGAGGATGAGTGACTGTCAGAGTGGTGGGAAGTATGTGAGTGCCATGAGCTGGGCTACGTAGGAGGCCTGAAATCACCTCTGCCATATGCAGGGAGAAGGATATGCAGAAAGAGTAATCTGCATAACACAATTGAGATAGCATCTAATGTTTTGAGGTACAGTTCAGATGTGTAATCTTTGAAGCCCCAGGAAGTCATAGCCTCTATCTCAAGGTTAGATCCCAGTGAACAGTGTGGAGCATTGGCTCTTCATCCCACCTCATCCCAGATCACACAAGGAAACAATGGGGGGCAGAAGGACACACCTGTCATCTTCAAAGACTACCATCAGACCTCAGCTGGACGGATATGCATTGCTTAAAGCCAATTGAAAGGATAAGGAAAAGCCCTAGCCAGCTCTCTACATATCAGTACATGGAAATAGGGCCAGGCTAAGTCAAAATGGAGACAATTGCTCCTCTTTCAAGGACAGTCACCCAAGTGGTCCTCCACAAGGTATAGGGTCTGGCACATAGTAGGTGCTCAACACAACAGAGGCTGTTCTCAGGGGCTACAGGAACTTCCACATCAGGCTGTTCCTAGAAACATGGCTCGGGTGTTCAGGGACACTGGACCTGCCAGAAGGGCATCTGGGGAGCTCTGTCTTTCCTGTTTCATCCACAGGCTCACAGAAGCACTTGGCATCTCTGCCTGCTCTGCCCTCCTGCTAACACCGGGTCAGGGTAGGGAGCGTACCTCCAGGACGGGGAGCCGGATGTTGAGGAAGAAGGGCTGCAGTACCACAGAGAAATCCTCTCGGGTGTCATAGCGGCCTGATTCCACCAGCTCGCGCATGCTGCTCTGGGGACGTCATGTACACAGGGGCCTTCAGCCCAGGTAGGCAAGGGCAGGCGGGAGAAGCACCCCTGCCTGACCAGCCCGGACAGAGGAGCTGGTCAGCCCTGCCCTTGAGAACTCAAAGGCTGATCTCTTTCAGGAGAATTTGGAAAGGGAGTAGAGTGCATTTAGGTTTTGATTTGCCTACCCTTTAGAGAATGATCCGCATCCTCTAAAGGGTAGGCAGGACAATCCCACAAGAAATAAAACCTGGATGCCCCCAGGCTCCCTTCTTATGGCTTGCCTGCTGAGGTGGTGGGTCTGTGGTGGGGCTCAGGGTGAGAGGAGTGAGTGTGGCTGGGCCTCTGGGATGGTCTCCTGGGCACCCAGAACTATTGGCCAAGATTGGGGTGAAGCCCCTACTGCAGCTCAGCCATGAGAGCTTTGTCATCCAGATTCTGCTGAGACGACTCCAGCCAGTCATCTCACAGCCAGGCAGGACAGGCAGGACAGAGGAAGGGCCTGGGGGCTGACGTCTTGGTTCCCTGCGTGCCTCCCTGGGGGCTGGGGGTTGTGAGGTCAGAGCGAGTGCGGGGAAAACACTGGAGAGTGCCCGTCTTCATCTCACCTGGTAGGCTCGGGTGAAGGCCTCCAACCTGGCCAGCTCCTGGGAGTTCTCCCTCGGGGTCAGGACGCAGTTGCACAAGATGCTGCGCAGAGGGGAAGCAGGAGAGCCCAGAGCCAAAGCTCTGTTCAGGAGCTGCAGCCTTCAGGCTGCCTGGGGTGGGAATGAGGGGTTCACTCGAGCCCTGATTTAGGAGCATGTGTGCCTGGAGGCTCCACAGCATATGCCTGGGGGCCAGGCAAGGTCCAGAGAGGAAAGGGGATCCAATAAGTACCCTCTGTGTGAACACAGCACTGGGCCAATGAGTAGAGGCAATAAGAATGTGGTACTTAATTAAAGAAGAAAATAGAAAATCTCATCCTCTGGTATTGCAGCAGATATCCTTTGGCCTTTGATGATCATGCCCCTAAACACTCCTTCAGTGCCACGCTGTCCCCTTTTGTTTTATGATGAATTAATTCACATCTATATGTATTTCATGTAAAAAGATCAGAGGTGTTCCTTTTTCTTTCTTTTTTTTTGAGACAAGGTCTTACTATGTAATTCAGGCTGATCTCGAACTCACAGTGATCCCCTGCCTCAGCCTCCCAAGTACTGGGATGACAAGGGTGCGCCACCATACGCCGCTGAGGTGCTGTTCAAATTACCATGGTGTTATATCCCAATAAGCCCATGGTAAGTTGAAATCAGTTTACATTAACAATGTACTTACTACACCTAACCTACTGACTGTCACAGCTTAGCGGCCCCGGGTGCTGGCTGTTTCCCCGGGGATTGTAGGGCTGATGGGAGCACAGCTCTCTGTGCCTGCCTGGAATCACTGAACAGCATGGTGCCACATACCAGAGGTGCATAGTACTGCAGGCTTCCAGCCCAAGAAAAATCAAAACTCAAAATTCCAAGTGTGGTTTCTAGTGGGTGTGCATGGCTTTTGCACTATCATAAAGCTGAAAATTCTAAATTAGGGACCATGTGTATTTTTAAGCACTTAGAACAGTGCTAGATACACAGTAAGTTCTGTGACACTTGTTTAATCAATAGCTGTGTGTATAAGGTATAAGTATCGTGTGAGAAGAATGAAACACTTGTCTATGGACCCATTCCCCAGTCTGTGCAGCAGAATAGTCTCAATCTGAAGTCCCTGTGTCCCTCCCAGTTCTCTTCCTGCTGTGCAGCAGAATAGTCTCAATCTGAAGTCCCTGTGTCCCTCCCAGTTCTCTTCCTGCTGTGCAGCAGAATAGTCTCAATCTGAAGTCCCTGTGTCCCTCCCAGTTCTCTTCCTGCCCATACTGTCTGACTACACACACACACGCACTCCTCCCAGGAAGTTGCCCTTCACAGGCTGGGCTACTCTGTGCAAACAGTAGCTGTGGCTCCCAGTGTCACAGAAGTCCCTAGCTGGCACTTGGTACCTTGGGATTGGATAAGAGGGGGCAGAGTCAACATTCCCATCTCCCAGAAATGGGCAGTTCTGGCCGAAGTGTTCTTTTACAGACATGGACTCATGAACAGACCAAGTCATAAAGATCCTGAGGAGTCATTGCCGCATGTGGGCCAGACCTTGGGGGTAAGGGTGGCTCCAGCCTGGGGTGATCAGCAGTGCCTACCTGGCGTGCTGCACTGGGCATTTGTCTGGGTTTCCCAAGAACACCTGCCGCATGACACTGGGATTCATGAAGTCCACGAGGTTGACCAAGGCTCTGGGGACCTGAGGGCCAAGTTGTAGGTGAGAGAGGGGCTCTGGAGCTTCTTCCCTAGGCTGCCTTGGGACCTGGAGATGTGGGAGCTGGCTAGTCTGGGACCTCCAGCTCAGTCCATTCTGCAGTAGAGCTTGGGGGAGGAGTCTGCACAGGGCCACCACATAGGGTACTGCGGGCCATGCCTCACACAGCTGCACAGAGTGACGATCACATGCGCTGTAGCACCTCCTGGAGTACGACAGTAAATACTAAAGGGTCAGCCCTGTTCAGCTATCACTTAGTGAGCCCCAAAACATTCATTTTAGTTTGGTAAGATATGTGACCTACTTGCCAGGCCACTGGCCCTTGACAAGGTCCCGCCAGCCCAGCCTGGCCTATGGCTGCTGAGCAGGCAGAGGGGTCCAGCTACCAAGTGGGGCATCTGGTGGCTAGAACGCACTTTCCTGGATATCCAGACAGCCTGTCCTTGCTAGGGCACGGTGCTAGGGTGGGGAGACTTGAGGCTGCAGTGCCAATTAGACAAAACTGCCTTCCTTTCTCCAAATCTGAGATCCTCTGGGGGCAGATTCCACACGGAATGAAGCTTCCTTGGGAGTGGACCTCAACCTCTGGACAGGGAAGGAGCCCATGCTCTTGGTTCTGTCCTTGAAGGAAGGGGAACTTTCACCATTCTTTCTCCACCCACCTTTACCCCCACCATGCTGGAGCTGTCACCAGCTTGTAGGAGTTTCCACCCACCTCTCTGTGTAGGACGTCCAAGGCATTGCGGAGATGGTTAAAAAAGTTGGCTGCAGAATACAGGTTCTGGGAAGAGACAGGAGGAAGGGAAAGGAGTTGCTGGTTCAGGTGAGAGGGCAATAGGGGCAGCTGAAGGTGTCCTTTCTAATTCCAGAATTCTCCTGGCCTTCAGCTGTAACTAGCTCAGCACAGCAGACTGAGAAGAATAGTTGACTACTCCGCTGTTGTCAGAGATGGGCCACCAAGAGGACTGACGTCTTTGGCCACAGCTTTAGTTTGGGACCAGAAAGTGGAGAGTCCTCTCCCAACTGCTTGGGGTCTACAGTTTCTTTTCTTTCTGAGTTCTCAATAGAAGCACCATATGTCTGTCGCCTGCCACCCACCATGTGGGCCCGGAAGATGGTGCCAGGGACCTGAGGGTCATGGGGTGTGCAAGGGGAGTATGCCTGTGCATGTGTATTGTGCAAGCGTGTGTGCTGGTACAGGCAGAGTTGGGTACTCTTAGGGTTGGCTCTAGGAACTGTTCTCAAAGATCTGCAAAGCCTACTGGCCAAAGTGGGGAGCAAGGAATAGGCCTGGATCCTGGCCCCATTACCGAATCTGTACAGTGGTCGCACAAATCATTGGCTCCAATCAGCACCGTGATGACCTTCCAGTCTTCATAGAAATTTATTCTCTACATGGAGGGAGGAAAATCTTTGATGATTTCCATCAGACAAATAAAAACATCATAGATCTAGGAAATCCAGTCATCCTCTAGGACTTCCTGGTTCTCTCAAAATAATACAATCAGAATCTCAGAGCAGACAGAATTTTAGGTTTATTTGTAGACCAAAGATACCTAAGGATATGGAGGGACTTTCAAAGTCACTGTGACTGGCAGCAATCCTCTCCCCACTGACACAATATCCTTTACAGGGTGCCAGGCAAGGAGCAGCCCTACCTCTGCTTGAATACCTCTAGTGATAGGGGGCTTACTGCCTTCCATGGTAAACCATTCCATTAGTTTATAAGCAACCACAAATCTGACTCACATGGTCATCTTTCATCTTCTGTACCAAAGTCTCAACTTGGCTTATAAGTTCCCTGAAAAAGAAGGAACAATCAGTTCTTCCATTGAGGGAGAATGCCCATATTTTTCCTCCTAAAGGGCCTAAACTATAGCTTCCAGGGATATCATTCCCACTCAGTGAGCTGCAGAGATCCCTAGACTCAGAGGCCAGAGGCTACTTGGCTCTTTGGAGAGTTGTTACAGCAGATATCTCTGTGAAAAGCCAACTTTGTATTTGTCCTAAAGCTGTAGTCAAAGGTACTGCCACCTGCCTGTGTTGCTTACTGTCTCCTTTCTAGGGTGCCATATGCAAAATGACTCTTAGGATATTCTATGCTAAGAAACCATTTGAAAGACCTTACAATTAGACCTACAAAAGTTTTAGCATGCTTCATCCTTGCCCTCCTGGCTGCCCAAAAGCTGATTTTGATGTTGAAACATAACCTTAAAACTGCTCTTATGGACACCATTTCTTCCTTTTTTATTTCCCCCAGTGGCTATGATTTTCTCATAAAATGACTTCTGTATATACGTTAATATATATTATATATCTATGTTACTGTGGTTGTTTTTGTGAATGTATCTAAAACTTTCATGCCTAGGTAGAAACCATGGAAATTCATGGAAGGAGGAGATGTCAGGCCTTGCACACCCTCGTTCAGGCCCCTGTGATAGGTCTAAGTGATAGATCCATTGGATAGTGACATGGGTGACCAGATGCAGGGACCATCTGTTTCAAGCTATTCCCATTACCGGGCCAAGTGAGCAGGTCTGGGGGCCATACCCCCAACCAGAGAGTACAGGCCTGAGCAAGATGACAGCATGGGACAGGCTCAGTTGGTTGGGCCAGGAGCTGCATGAAGCAGGAGTCTCAGGCTTCTGGGGCCCTTGGGAGCAGGAGACCCAGGGGCCCTTTGAAAACCATCCTAGGACGTGGCTTTCAGGGCCTCTGAGCTTCTGTGTTTTGTTTCTTGTTAGCATCATTAGAGGGAAAGGGGGAGCAGAAGCTTCTTAGTCTGAAGAATCTGGCTTGCCCACCTATATGGGGCCTTCCATGACTGCCACTGGAGAGGCTCTGGGGAGAGTGGATCTGTCTAGCACCATTAGGCCAGGGTAAGTTTTAAAAGTTTGGTACATTGGTCAGTTAGCAGGGCCAGGACCCGGACAATTACTGTGGGAACTCCACCTCTTCCCCAGACCGCAGCCTCTCCGGCCTCCCTAGTGTGGTCTGGTCACAGGGACAGCAGGGAAGGGCAGCCCTATCCTCTGCAATCATTGCTGCAGACGAATGAAGGTCCCTCTCCACCCACAGGCCAGCACTGCGATCTCAGAGCGTCAGCGCCAGCCTCAGTTCCCCACTCCACAGCCCCCACGCATACTCAGCCTTCGCTCCAGGAACGGCCTGGTTGAGGAATGCATTTGTGTCGTTGGCATCGCCAGTACCCACTGCATAACCAGTGAGGTTTCTGTTAAACTCCCGGAGGATATCTGAAGGAGGAGAAGTGAACAGGGCACAGAGTGCTCAGGATGGAAGGCCAAGTTGCCTCCCCTGGTACCAGAGGGTCTAAATCCCCATGGTGGGTTGTGCCATTGTCCTTATGATTTCGGAGGAGAGACGGAGGCCAGGCGTGCGCCCAGCATAAACTGGGGCCTCTGTGAGCTGAAATGACTTGATGGGAAGATGGCCCAGGCAGCCAGAGCTGAAAATACCTTGAAAATACCTTTATACAATTCACAGTGCAGTGAAAGGTCCCTATCTAACTTGTCTCAGCACCCCCAGGCTGGCTGAAAAACCACAGGCTCAGAGAGTCTGGAAGCTCGCTGTGGGTCACGTCTCATAAGCTCATGGAGAGGGAGATGTGGCTGGAACCCACATCTCCAGCCTTCATTCCACCCACTTTAGCTGCCTGTCCACAGCTTCCCCTCCTACCACAAAGGTGGTCCACAGAAGAACGTTATTTGTTCCTCTTTTCACTGGGAAATAGTCTTGGAACCTCGGGAACAGATGGGTAAGAAGACAAACTTGAGCCCTCAGTGGTTACTTACTAGGTAAGGTGGTCACGTTGTCCAGGGAGCCGTCCCCACCTGAACTGTGGGGAGTGAGCCAGCCAGGGAGGGAGAGAGAGAGATGGAATCAGTACACAAGGTTTACAACAAGCCCGCCTCACCCTTCGCAGGGCCAAGAAGCACCTGCAAGGGGAGGCAGACCCACCTCTTGGTATGTGAGAGATTCTGAGAAAATCTGTAATTCACCTATGTGTTGGTTCCCCCTAAACCCAGGATTTGAAGGTAGAAAAGCTGTTTCTTTTCATGGTCACATCAGGAAGCACAGCACTTAGCTGAGAACACACCGTGTGCCCTGCTCGGTGCAGCTTCTCCACACTTGTTCTCATCCCCAACAAGTTGAGGAGGTAGATGTGACTTTTTCCACTTTACAGAGTAGAAAACCGAGGGGCAGAGAGATGAGCTAAGTTGCTCAAAGTGACCGGGATTCCACCTGAGTGAGAAACCTGTAGAACATAGATGAACTCTTCTGTGGCCAGAATGGGGTAAATTCTGCTGGAAGGTTCAGAGGACAGCCCCTCATTGCCTTCCAATGCTCCCTCGAATTTCATTTAAGGTAATCTCAAGACGCTCTAAAAGACTCCATTTCCTTTCATGTGTTTAAATTAAGCACGGCATACAGGAGACAAGGAGAGAAGTATTTCAACAAAACCCGACATTCAGATGTCCTGTATTTACTGTTCTTTTGCTTCTGTGCCTCTCTCCTCAGTCCCAGCATCTTATTCAGAACACAGCCTTAGCACCCCTCCAGGTGGCAGACACTTCTAAAGGACGGCCATCCATCAGTCCTAGCTGTTCTTCCCTCACGGAACGCTTGGAATGAAGTGGGCTGTTTCTTGAGGGGCCTCATCGCAGGCTGAGCAAGCAGCCAGATGGTGGGGGAAAGGCAGCGAGGGGGAGCTTTACCCTTCTGACTGCTCAGTTCTCTTGCTCACTGCCCAGCTATGTCTGAACCTAAGAGCGCCAGTGGTTGAACATTTGTTCACACTTCCGAGTATTTTCCAAGTCTACACAAAGCTGCCACCTTGTCTGCTTCCTGATTCCTTCTCTGAACCAAAGAGGAACATTTTATATTTGAAAAAAATCCCCATACCACCTCCAATTACTGCCTTCCAACTCTTCCCTCTTTTCCCCTTCAACAAACATGTAAATGTGAAGACACACACAAGAACATCAAGTACTTTCTACTGTGACTGCTTGTTTAAAAGTATCTTTAAAGAAGTGTGGGGTCAGATCGAGGCCCCCAGGCCAGGGAATCTCTCCCTGATGCCATTTTAGAGTGAAAATGTCTAGGAGAAAAAAAGATGACACAAATTAATATGGAGGAACAAAACTATTTTAGTCACCATTCTGATCAGAACTACGAGAATGCAAAGGAAAACACTGTGTCAAAATAGACCCATGCTAGTGTAAGTTAGATCCTTCAATGAGCATAATCTATATGATACTCTGAGTTCAGCGGCTGGGCCATGTTCAGATGCTGTCACCCACAGAAAAGTAGAGTGAGTGCTCAATACTATTTGTTGAAGGAGCTTTAGTAATGTGAGATTGAAGTCCTAATTGAAAAAAACAAAGAAATGTATCTTTTGGTAAGTAAGTATTTTATTCTGGTGCGTTGCATGATACCAAACAAGCAAACCTTTTTCAATGGAAGAAAAGACCACGGTCTAAAGATCTCTGCCTGTCTCACTGGTGAGCTGGCTAAAGCTGGGACCACATACCAGTGCATGATCTCAGAGGCCTAGAGGCCCTGGAAATATTCACAACCAAACATCCTCTGCAGGTCCAGCTCATAGCCACCCACACCCCAAGAGTTCTGCACCCACTTCTCTCCTAACTTGGTGAATTCTACTTTCCACTCTGTTTTCCTGGCAGAAGAGGCCAAAATGGGGTCTTAATTTACCTAGAATCATTAATTGACTAGTATTTCCAATCTAGAAGCATTGATGGCGCCTGAGCATTGCTTTGCTCAGATCAGTTTACTACATGGACTTTTCCCAGGGGATGTTGATAGGCATTATAAACAAAGAGTTCTGGAATTAAGGGAAATCCCAGATTAACCATAAAATGCAAACAGATTTCTTCATTGCAGCACTTCTCAGAGCCTTTATTATGCTAATATTCATGTAAATTCCCCCAAAGAAAGGATATAGCCTGTAATGTTTTCCCCAAAACACAAAGGATTTTTCCTTCTTGGATGGAATTAATGTTCCATGGAACATACCTTGCGAAACTAGTTTCTACCACAACTGAAATCATCTCTTAGATTCTGACCTGCAGTTTCCGTCTTCAACACTGGTACATTTAGAAGCAGATATTTGAAATTTTAGGATACATAAAAGGTTTAAAGGAAAAGCACCCATTGGACAGGGAGTACTAAAGTTAGAACTAGAAAATTCAGACATTCCCTGGAAGGAACGGAGCAATGGCTATATGTCTCCACAGCTGCAGAGAGACACTTTAAACAGAAGATTGCCTTTGTACAGCGTTAGGATTCCAGGAGCCCAGCCAGGTGAACTGTCTGGGAAGTTGAACTGATCACCTCACTGCCTCAGGAGTCGCTTACCCATCTGTCCTGTGGCTTATCTGCTTCACCTCTTTCCTAATACTATGATGGGAGATTACTGCCTCCTTTAGTTGTGACCAAGTGCAGCTGCTTTTCTTGACTCGGAATAAGCCCCCTTCCTTTCTCTCCCTCTGGGCTTTCTTTTCCTTGTAGCCCCAGCAACACTGGGTGAGTAGGCAGTGACCCAGGCTCTGCTTTGGACTGCATAGAGACCACTGACCTGGCTGACGATGTGGCAGAAATTTAGGGGCCTCGGGGTAGGAGGATGTCCTGTGCTGAGGACATTGTGGGCTTTGTGATGATGCTTCTCTCCTGCCCTGAAAACCTTCTCTCTCTGGGACTCTGCTCATCCCTGGCTGAAGAATTTCACAGACCTGCTCACCCCCTCTGTTTCCTCTCACATTCTTGGGGGAGATATTTAAATTAGTTCCCCAAAGAACAGACAGGCAACAAATGTGTTCCGGTGCCACCCACCGCTCATTTTGGGGCTCACTGCCCTCTCGTGGCTGTCCTTGGTCTAGTTGTTTTCCCAGATAAAATCTGAACCAGTCACCAACCAATTGCTCTGAAGCATTCATCGACACGTATTTTATTAGGAAAGAAGAAAAGGTAAGAATACCCACAACCAGCCGCTCACCTCACACCCTGAGCCTTTCTGCTTCTGCATCTGGACTGCTCGTCCTTACCTCCTCCACTTGTCTAACGGCAAATCTTTCAAGGCCCGCTGGGTACCACCTTCCCTGGAAAGCCTTCTCTGCTGGAAGCTTGGTCACTTCCTCTTCTCTAGCCTCTCAGGCGCCTTTTATTTTTAAAGAGCACTTGCCACCTGAGCGTGTGCCTTACCCAGAGTCCCCTCTCTCACCTGCCTCACACCTCGTGTTGTGCCAGGATAGAGGAGGGGCGCAGGGATCCTGCTGACTGTGACTTTGTCTTAGTCATTTTCCCTGAAGGGCATTTTGGGTTTTGGAGGTTTTCTGTACAGATGTGAACATATACATCGAAGCAGAAGTGTGACTATAGAACATTAATAAATATACACAGACAGACGTAGAAGCATCCACACATGCACATAAACATGCAAATGGGCAGGTGAAGAATCAGGGCTTTGGTGTTTTTCGGGTACATTTCATGTTGGATGCGCTGACCGAGGAGGCTGATAAGAACCTTGGTTTATTTTGTCTGTATAATTTAAAAATAAAAAAGATTATCAACAGTAAAATGGCCTCTCCACTCACCAAATGTTCATATTTTGTAGACATGAAAGCCCCTTCTTTGGCATTTACGGGAGTCTACCCCCGCCCAATCTTTGGGAATGAACCCTGGGGAGAAGGAGGTCAAGGGTTACCCTTACCTATATGACAGTCCCCGATACTGTGTGGTGACGTCGAGGAGGTTGCCTGGTTGGGAGCCAATTCCATTGCCAGCCTTTGAAAACACATCAGAATCCACAGGAAAATTAGCAAATTCAAGGAAACGGGGACTGTGACAGGGCTGGGCTTCCAGAGCTGGTTCCCAGCACACTTGAAACAGAAGCAAAGCATGAGACCAGGAGACACAGGCTCACCTGCAGCCCTCCCCGCCAGCCACATCCCTGCCCTGCCTTCGGCTGCCTCCTGACTGAACCAAGGGCAAACCTTGTGCTCCTCACAGGCCAGTTTTGGGGCCAACTTGGAGCACAGTTGTTAAGACTGTTTTGAAAACTCTCCAGTGCTTTACAAACCTGAGAGACTGTTAATAATATTATTGCCAGCATTATGTTCCTCATTTCTTTATGAAGGGAGTGTTCGTAGGCTTGAGCCACTGGGGTGGACAGATTTCTCACACATCTCACATTTCTCCTCTTTCCCTCCAGGACCTTCCGTAAAGCATTCGCAGAGCCTTAGAGGTGCTGTCAGAAAGTGTGACTTCCAAGCAGCATTGCCCCTGGCTGGGAAGTCGGTGGGCGTGGGGGAAGAGCTTTACCCACCACTGAGGAATCTCTGCTGCCTTCTGCACTGATGCAAAGGCGATACAGATGTGAAGGTCAGAACTGACTGTAAAGTATACTCCAAAAGAAGAAGGGCGCCCATGCAGGTGGGCTTAGAAGGATTTTGAACCAAAATAACTCCTTTTTTTTTTTTTTTTTTGCATGTTTTTAAAAAGTGTTGTTGGATGTTTGAAACCTCTACTTACTGAGACAATGTACTTCGCTCCTGTTAAAAATTTCCTTTGCTCATTTGCTTGAGAAAATAGTTACAAAATCCAATCATGGCCACTTTCTTGGGCTGCCAGAGTCAGGGGAGCGGGGAGGCAATGTGGAGGACAGGAATACAAGCCCTGGGGTTAGGAGGGCAGGGATCTGGAATGGTCTATCTATGCCCAACTCGCCCGGGGCCCAAGAGTCCTTACAGTCAGAGAATCCCCCAGAGCAGCCACAACGTGGATATCTGCAGGTCTCAGGGCATGCACTAGAAATGCAAGGGGACATGCTTGAGTCTTCAGGAAGGAGGCTGCAGCCAGAATCTAGCACTTTTGCTTCAAGCAAGCCCTGCTTGGATGTTTGAACCATGCAGGACTGGGCATCCACACTGCTACAAGAACAGACATCATACGAGGAGCGTTTCCCCCTAAGAGACACGATAAACTAATCCCGGAACTAAGTTTGGCAGTAGGGGTTTGGGGACAGACAAATGGATCAAAGGAGAGGCGGAGGGAAGGAGGACCAGCAGGGTAGATCCCACCACTTCATCATAGCTGCTATGTGAGAGGCCACTGGAAATAAAGAGCGAAGTTCTGGATTCCATAAGAATCTGAAGAATAATCATGTAGGGCCTGTCCTTGTCCCCAAGCCCCTTCTGAAGAGCCCAGGGAATCTTCCAGACCCTGCTGAAGGCTCAGGTGGCTACAGAGCTAGGGGCACAAGTCGACAGACCCAGGCGGCTGATGGGATTACTGGGCCCACCTCTAACCCCTGGACCTCACCACACCACAGGACTGGGACACCAGCAGGTGAGCTCACGTGCCTCCTCCAAGAAGCTAAAGTAGAAGTGCCAGAAAGAGCTTCTGGCCTGCCAGGCATGATACTGCCAGAGGCCAGCGTGGGCCAAAGCAGTTGCCGCCCCACCCCCTAGACAGTAAGCAAGCTCTGGTCATAAATTTGGTGTTAGCTTAAGAAAATCTCATTGGGTTGCTCCAGTGTATAAGTCTTTGAGAAGCTTTGGGACCTTGTGGTCATGAGTCATTACCTGAAGTGGGAGATGAGGCAGAAGGGGTCCTCTCCCTGCATGATAGCCAGGTCCCATGGCCCTAAGAGCATAGAAGGAATCTCAGAATCGTAGGGTTGGAAGGGGCCAAAAAGCCTGGCTGGGCATCAGATTCACCCAGAGAGCTTTAAAATGTATAGATTTCTGGTTCTACACTTGGCAAGGGATCTCTAATGGGCATCTGAAGTCACCCCAGGTAATTTTGAGTATCAGCCAGGTTGAGCACTGTTAATCTAGTCCAGAACACTCCTTTACTCAATGTAAGACTTGAGGCTTCAACAAATGACCCCAACTCATACCACCTGCTCCTGCCCCAGTTTGGTAAAGAGGACGGTTCTCTTCAGTCTGTCTGGATGGTGCTATGGTTTGATTGGCTGATACCTATCCAGCCTTTGTCAAAGGAGCTTATTCTGCCTTCTGAAAGTACAGATGAATGATGATCTTTGTAAAAGGGTATGAGCCACCCTGGGCTTCCTGGCCAGAACACTTGCTCCCTTTCCCACCCATCCTGTTGGGTCAGCCCTGGCTTGGGCTGCTCAGCACACTGGCTGGTGAGTCAAAAGGGAGGGATTAGCAGATACCTCCATGCTGTTCTTGTAGGTACTCAGGAATGGCCAGACCTGTGGGGAGAGGGAGTGAGTAATGGCAGCATATGTGGCTTGATTCTCTGTTTACCAGCCTGCAATAAGTGCCAACTTAGACACATGTCCCCCGTTGGCCTCCCTGATGCCACAATCTGAACCCAGCCCCTCCCACCCATGCTGATCACTGGGGGCTCTATTTCAGAATATAGGGGAGCCTTCTCTATATGAAGACTTAGATAAACCTTTAAATGGCTCCTAGTTACATGTGTGCCTCCCTGCCTCCACCACCCCTGATGGCTGAGGTCCCTTGCTGCTTCTTTTTCTCTACCCACTCCCTCCCAACAACAGTACACCTCTTCCTGCTAATCAAAGCTGTAGCTTCTACTTACTGGGCTCCTTTGCTACCCCATACCCACTCCACCCTGCAGTAGCCTGGGCTGCTTCTTGTTTGGGCAAGAAAAGCAGATCCTGGTCCTCCCCTGTGGAAGGCCTGGCATGTGATTCCCAGTGACAGGCCTGGAACCAGAGAATTATAGGGATATGGGCAGCAGCCATAGAGTCCCAAAAATCCCTTGTAACAATTTATGGGTGAAAATGGGAATCTTGTTCTGCTTTTCTAGCTCCCACTTCCCACGTAGCACCCTGCCCTCCGCCCTCTATCCAACCAGCTAGCATTCTAAGTCTCCTTGCTCTTCCCAGATAGTGATGGAGCCAGTAGCTACATGCATACACGCTAAGACCCAGCTACCCTTGAACTTCTCCCCATTCTCAGCCTTCAAAAGGAAAGCCAGATGTGGCTGGCATGTTTTTTCCTATCTGTCCAAGAAAATGGTGTCCAGCTTGTACTGTGCTAGGGAGCCCTGCCATGCAGAGACCAGGAGCACTGGAGGGCCTCCAGTCATTATGGATGTTGACCTGGAATATTGAATGGAGTGGGCCCGGGGACAGAGCAGAGGCTGAGGCAAGAACCCGGGATGAAACGAACTGAGAAGTGCAGAGAGCACCAGAACCTGGAGAAGACGCTCTTCATGGAGTGTTTTGGGGATGTGCATCTCATCCTACCTGGTTCGGACAAACAATATCGACCTTGTTTTCAAAATTTTGCCGTGTTGTCTTCTGACCAACAGGTTCCAGCTAAACCAAGAAGCAGGAAAGTGGAGAATGAGAAAGAGGTGGCCAGAATGGAAAGGTCAGAGTGCAGGGCCCAGGGGCGGGAGGGAGGGAGGAGCACAAGCAATGAATCTTGGAGAGGGGAGGATTTTCCTTCCTCAGCCATCCTACCATGTTTCTCCAGAGGCCGCTTGCTGCACGGGCGTGAGTCTTGCTGCTGAAGTGGAAACAGTCGGGGGCGAAGAATGAGTTGTCAGGCAAGCCCTCCTGGTCACCAGCAGAAAAAAGAGAGGCAGTTACAGAAATGTCGCCTGGCACAACAGATGCTCAGAACAGCTGGGCACCATCTGTGGGCTCCGCTCATCCACAATTTGGGCTTTCTTTACCGAGGTCTTCGGCATGTCCACATATTCAAAGAATGGCTGCACAACCACTGTAAAATCCTCTCTGGTATCGTAGCGTCCAGTCTCAATCAGCCGCTCAGTCCCCTCCTGCCGGGGGAGGGGGAGAAGGGGGCTGGGGTCAGGGGGTCCTCTCTGAATCTTTTGCATCTTTGCTTGATCTCTTCTCTGACATAGAATTGAACAGAATTTGGCTGTTGGGTAAATGAACTTTCAGCAACATCGCAAGTGCCCAAGAAAAGGTTACCTTTTAAAATCAGCCCTAAACTCAGCCCCTGGCTCCCACCTCTGCTGTAATTACATAGATTTGCTTCCGGCTGTAGAAAGGGGAAGGCAAGAATAAACTAAATCTAGTAGCTTGACACCTTCCCCACTTTTAAAGCTATTCTGATTAAAGGCTTGAAGGGCTGGTATTTGATTAAGTGGCATTTTGGATGATCCTTACATTTAATTTCTGTCCTACACTTGTTCAGAAAAATCAAAGACAAGTCAACAACAATGCTACATTATATTGCTTGTGGGGTGTATGTGTGTGTGTGTGTGTGTGTGTGTGTGTGTGTGTGCATGTGTGTGAACATTTTGCTCTCGGATCTATCTAGGAGGGTAAAAGCCATAATCTTCCCAGCTTCTGCTTGGGCTCAGTTCTAGGAAAACCAGTTATCCCAGTTCTGATTCTCGTCTATCAGACTCTGTCATTTCATTGCTCACTAGAGTGTCCGGAATTTGGGGCCAGGATTCTGGCTGGAGAGAGAAGTCAGGCTCGTGTATCTTGGAGCATTAGTGTGGTCACCGTGGAAGTCATATGCATTGTCTCTTTCTAGGGTCAGCCAGAAGGAGAGCCCCATTGACAGAGAATCCTCATGTCTGACCTCCTGGGCCAGCCTCTTCCATTACAAGCATATCCCTGAGTAAGACACAAGGGAAGGAGCGTGACCTCTCACAAGAAGACTTCCAGAAGATACAATCTCCTAATAGTTGTGTGACTCTCAGCAAGCCCCTTCCCTCTCAGAACCTTCATTTCCTCATCTGGATATAAAGGATATCAGGCAAAGCCTGGACCATCTCTTAAGCCCTTTCCAATGCTACTAGTTCCTCTGGCGGTCAGCCATGATGGCTCACAGTGGAGCAAAGAAAAGACATAGTGTATCAAGCCCCTGGCATTTGGGAAGAGCTAAACAAATGACTGTGGTTATTAATAGCAAAGATCATCTTGAGGGAAAGGGATGAGAACCATAACTTTTGCAGAGAGAAGGGAATGAGATGATCCTGAGAGGATGAGATGGCCTCACGTGACTGATATGTGCCTCCAGGACTCGAGATCATGGTCTCAGTGGTGGCCAAGATCAGACCTGGGAACAGCCAGCCTATCTTTGTGAACGCTAGTGAGTCCAGTGATTTCTATCTGTGGGAGACTGATTCCAGGAGCCCCATGGATGCCAAAACCCATGGAAGCTGAAGTCCCTTATGTAAAATGGCATAGTAATTTCACATAAGCTACATATACCTTTCTATTCTTTAAGCCACCTCTAGATTATTTAGAATACCTAATACAATATAAGTGCTATGGAAATAGTTGCTATGCTATATTGTTTAAAGAATACTGATAAGGAAAACTGTCTGTTCGGAACAGGTGCATTTTTCCCCTGAATGTTTTCCATCTGTGGTGGGCTGAATTTGCACAGATCTAAAGGGCCAACTGTATTTCTTCTCCTTTCAGTCTTCTCAGTATCTGAACTGACTTCCTATGTTTGAAGACCCCGACCATAGGAAGAACAGCCTGCCTCTTCAAGGAGTAGCTGGAAAAATCAGATCACCTCCCCAGCCTATGAAGGAGGCCTCCATCCAAACCCCATCTCAGGGACAAGACGGGATCCACTCCGCTGATGAAGGTAGCTGTCTCTGGTTCTTAGAAGCAGCATTGACTGTGCGGTCCATGAGGTCTCCTCTGGTAAGGTCTCTGGCCTGCTGTTGAATCTTATGGCTCAGCCCCTAGGAACCTATGACTCTAATTCCTGGCGGCTCAGCCTCTAACCCTAGCTAGCTCTCTAGCTCTTCTGAGACTCTGCTTAAATATTATGTCTTTAAATTAGCCACAAACTGCATGAGATTTTGTGGCTGGCATCTAAGAACCCCACCCAGCACAGGACTGCTCTCCTGGCCATAACTTCAGCTGCCTTTCTTCTCCGGGTGTGGGGTGTGCACTTGCTCGCTACTGTGCCAGGTGCCTGCTCGTGGCAGAAGGAGGTACAGCTGGGGAGTCACTAGAAGGCTGAGCCATGGTGGCAGGGTAAATAAAGGTTCACTTCTCTCTGAGTTTCTGACACACCCAGAAGGTATGGCTGCCTCCAGAGGAATCTGCAGGGAAGTGGTTCTATATATGCCATCCATGGGCTTTTGAAGGATGGATTACCTCTGCAAGCTGTTTGCAGTCCACTCTGAAAGGAAGGCTGGTCTATGGCCATACTACCCTGAACGTGCCTGATCTTGTCTGAAAGGAAGGCCACCATTGTCCCCTTTGAATGACTGGATGACTGTTTCGGGGGAAATTAGAGATGGTCCGGGGAGTCAACTGTCTGGTCAGATTTGACAGCAAGAGGACTAAAGGAACAGCCCACAAGAAAGCCAGCTGTCAACTCTCCTGCTTATGTACTGTAGGGACACCTGTTCCTTGGAGGGATGGCAGAGGGAGGCCTGGCTTGTCCTTTTGGGACCCTCAAGACCCTCTAGGGAGGAGGTGTTGCAGCTTTTATTTCCCACCCAGGAGCTGGAAGTTCAGACAGTTGGGGTTTGGATCTAGACAGATCCACAAGAAGACTTCTTTCCTTGATACCTTTTCTGCCTTGTATCTAGATGTCCACCCAATGCCTCATGCAGTCAAAGGTGGGGCTTTTCAGAAGTGGCTGGACCTAGGGTGTGTGATGCTGGGGTCAAGGATGTAACACTAGGATTGATTCATGGTGCAATGCTGGGATTAAGGGTGTGAGTGCTACCCACACTAGGGTGGGTAGCCTAGATAAAATATAAGAGACAGAAAGAGGGCTGCTGTTGTAGCTTGCTGCTTGCTGCCTTCTGCCTGCCTGCTCTGCAATGCCCCTCTGCCATGCTAGCCTGCCTTGGAGCCAGCCAACTATGAATTGCAACCTCTACAAACCATGAGCTCAATAAGCCTTTCCTCCTTTAACTTTGAGAGTCAGGTGTTTTGTCTCAGCAAAAAGAAAAGAAACTAAGACAATACCCACTTGTCCGTGACAAGTGACAGTGTTCATTTTCACGTAAAGGCCAGGAACTGGGATTTAGTGAAAGCGTGCCTCACGATTTGCCTCTGTAGCTTCACTCAAATTAGCTGAACTGCAGCCCCTGCTCTAGAGTGGCCTCTTTAGACTGGCCAAGGGTCATTGCCCACTGGGTCGGGGTCAAGTTCCTCAGCACTGCTTGTTCTCCAAACTACACAGCAGCCCCCTGGCAGCTAAGCCCCTCCAGGTTTACCTGATACTTCTTGTTTATGTCGATGAGGGAGTCAAGCTCTGTTGAGTTATCAGCAAGCGTCACAACACAGGGACACAGGGACCTACAGGCCAAACAAGAAGACGCCCCACCCCAAGGTCATTGATGCAGAAACATGGCCTGAGACACTGAATATATTTCTTTTTCAGTTGGAAGCATCAGGAATCCTTGCTAAGGAAGGGCCTGGCTGCTCAACCTGTGCGCTGGGCCAAGGGAGGCTGAAGACAGTGTCCCTGACCTGGATTTGCTCTTGAAAATGAGACAGCTGCTTCCAACATCTGTACAGGGAGGAGTGACTTTCATGGAGCTGGCTTACCTTGTGGCTGTCTGAGGACGATGCTGTGCGGAGGTGCACCTCCTTCTAAATAATAATTGCTAATATCCACTGAATGGTAACTGTCACATACTGTGATAAGAGCTTTATTGATTACAACCTGTTTAATCCTCATAATTATCCTAGAAGTTGAATTATCATTGTCCCTATTTTATAGAGAAGAACACTGAGGCTCAGAGTGGTTAAGTAACTTTCTCCCAGTCACATAGCCATATGTGTGCTGAGTATAAAAGCAGGGAATTAAGCTCAAGTCCCTCTGGCTCTGGACCCGATAAGTTTTGCTGTTCTTGCCATAATGGGGATTGAACCCGAAGTCTTGGCACTAAGCTACATCCCCAGCTCTTTTAAATTTGGGGGGTGGGGCACAGAGACAGAGTCTCACTGAATTGTTAGGTTCCCCAGCCTGTGCTTGAACTTGAGATCCTCCTGCCTCAGTCTCCCAGAGTGCTGGGATTATAGGTATGTACCACCATACCAGTTAAACTTGAGCCCAAACCTCTATACTAAACAGCTTCTGTCTAGTGTGTTACTCTATTCCTTCATCTGCCAAGTCTGGGCTTTTGGTCCAGGGGGCTAAGGTGATAACAGTGCAGATGGCTCAGTGTAGACCCAGCATCACCAATGACATCTCAGCCACTGAGACAGAAAAGAGAGGCAGGGAGTGCAGAGCACTGCAGCGTCAAGGGCAAGGCGACCTTGAATCCATCTGACTCTGACATCCGATGGTTTGGCCATTTCAGATCTTCAAGCAGAGCTAGCTGGCAAATGACTCTGAACCTTCAGGTTTAATGGTCTAAAACCCCCAGGGAAGCAGCAGCAAGAGACTTTTTGGAGAGCTGCTCTGAAGCAGGATGAACACACGTAACCCCTGTGTGGCCTAGTGACTGGAGAAAGTGGGAGCCGGTGGATGTGTCAGCAGTTGAAAATAGCATGCCTGACACCAGCTGTGTTAATAGGCGCATGTCACCCGGCAGCCATCCTGTCTCTGCTCTCAGCGCCCTGGGGCCTTCTCAGCGGGACCTGCGCAGTCCAGGCCCCCAGGCAGGTTCTGGCATGGACCTTCAGGGGATCAGCCAAAGTCGGCCTTACTTTCCAAGACCAAGTCTGGCCCTTGTGAATTATTCATTCAGTCATTCAGCAAGCAGCTGTGAGGCACCTACACTGTGCTAGCAGTGACTCAGAGTTCCCAGGCTGTGGGGGATAATTACCATGTGGTAATGACTAATTACCTCATGGTGTGTCAAGGCTGTGGAGGGGGCTGTGGGGGGGCATTGCGCTGCCACTGTGACCTGGGCTAATGGTCCAGAGGACTTGTAGGAAGGAATGCTATGGAAACAGTCACGCTTTGGTTATAAGAGTATCGTGTTCCCAAATGTCACAGAAATGTATAATACTAGAAGGGGCAGCCATCTCTGTTTACCTGTGGAGGCTGAGGGTTAAAGCCGGCCTCACAGGGCCTCACAGGGTGGTTGTTCTCTAGGAAAGACTATTCTCTGGACCTTGCTGATTCTGACTTGGTCACCTTCTCCTTTAGGAAGTGATAATTTCCCTGTATTTGTGAATGTCCAGTCTGGAGCACACCTGCCAACCAGAGGCACTGTCCATGTGGGGATGGTGGTATTCTGCACACACCATGAAGTAGATCTTCATAGCAGCCTGAGTCCTCTTTGAGTACTGCCAACATGACCTGACTTCACCCTTGATATCTTGTTCTCCTCTTCCTGGAGGATGGGGGTTGGGGGGAGACAGTAACTGCTATGGTAACAGTAGCAGGATTGGGTTCCACACACACCCTGAGGGAAGTAACTGAGGCCTATACTGGGGTCAAAAGTCCTGGGATATCCTTCCATGAGATTGCTCTGGTTTTTGTCTATGTTTTTATTTATTCTCATCCTCTCTCTCTCTCTCTCTCTCTCTCTCTCTCTCTCTCTCACACACACACACACACACACACACACACACACACACACACCTGCCAAGGGTCGAGGACTCTCTAGGAAACAGGGAGAAAGAAGAAGCTTCCAACTGACCTGAGAATCAGCCGTGGGCAGCTGACTTTAGTCTCCTTGTACAGCTCCCTCAGGTTAACTATCTGGAGCACCTTCACCATGTTCACAAATGCCCGAGGAACCTGTGAAAAGGCAGAATTGGACAGCTAGAGCCTTTTATAAGGGCCTGGACCTTCTCCTCCTTCTAGAGTTCTAAGCCAGGGATTTCCACCTGGCCCGTCTACTTCTTTCACCCCTTCCTTCTCCCTCCTCTCTGCTCCCCATTGACACTGTACAGTCAGACTGCTGGGGACCAGACAAGAGGCACCTGCCAAGGAGGTCTCAGCAAGACTTTGAAGGCCCAAGCCAGTGGCCCGTGGAGCCTCTCAGAAGCCATTTATCCCAGCCCCATACCTCAGCATGGAGGATGTCCAGAGCCTTCCTGATGTTGTCTGTGAAGTTCTCGGGGGAATAGTCAACCTGCAAGATGAGAAATGTCTCCTGAGCCCCATTCATCACCCTATCTCTCTACAACCAGGGCTGCTTCCTCTGTTAGCTCTTCCTCTATCTGTATTTCAGTCAGAGGACAACATTAGCACAGAGGGTTTGTCTTTGGGGACCCCAACCTTTACCCCAACTTCATATCCTCAGAAGTGTCATTGCTGTGACCCTCAGGGAAATGCTCTGTCTTTTGCATGGAGCTAGGGAAAGCTCTGCATCTATGACATACGAACTAGATATACAGCCTTAGCTAAAGCACGTCACGTCCCTGGGTCCCTCTAAAACAGCGGCAGGCTTGCTTGTCAGAACAGATATCTGAGAGCAGGGTCTGAGAGTTCCTGCAGTGGTAACAGTCTCTGGCCCTCCAGCCTCACTGCTTCTGCTTGGGGCCTCATATACTGGGAGCTACATCCTAGGCCAGGGCCTTGAGGAGACAGCAGGAGAAGAAGAGTGTCTTATGGACATCCTGGCCCAAGCATGCATTTTCACTCATATTTCTGCTCGTCTTGATATTTGTGGCTTTTTCAGTTTTTAACTTTATTTTATTAGTCCATGCTTCAGGCTTTGCTTTCATCTCAGGGAGTAAGTACACGTATATAGTATATCTCATTCTTTTTTATTCCCCTTCCCCTCCCCACCCAGCTACCTCCATCTCTAGACCCTGTTTCCCCACTTTCATTATTATTATTTTTAGCTCACGCTGGCAACCTGTGTGTAGCCGCTGTGAGTATTTGGTATGTGTACGTGGCACAGCCTAAATCCTTGTATGTTCCCTCCCTTTTCCCCTCCCCCTCCCACTCAGACTCTGGGGCTCCTTCCCATTTGCAAAAGATCTACCTCCCTGTTTCCTTTTATTAATCTTTTATTTTGCTCTTTATTTGTACATCACATTACTCAAATGAGAGAAACATGGTGTTTAAGTTTGTGAATCTGATTTATTTCACTTAACATTATGTTTTCTAGGTATAGCCATTTCCTACAAACGCCTCAAATGCATCCTTCTTTATAGCCAAGAAATATTTCATTATATATAGATAACACATTTTCTTTATCCATTCCTCTGTTGATGGACATATAGGCTGCTTTCGGGACTTAGCTATTATGAAGTGTGCTATCAACATTGGTATGCATGATCACTGTAATATGTTGCCTTTAAATTTTTTTTTTAAAGCAGCAGACCTTTTTTTCTGACTGAAATCTAACCAAGAACCCTGGTCTATGAAATAGATCAGAGCCAAGATTGGGCCCATGGTCCGAGCTCCTCCCCTACCCCTAGCAGACCCTTGGTTTCCCCGCGGAGCCTTCAGATTACAGCTTGAAAACACATGGCCCCAGGTGACTTTGATGACAGGAAAGTGGGCTGTAAGGGACCTGGAGACCAGATGGCCCCTCTGGGCAGCTGCTCACAGGCTACAATAGCATCCCCACCTCTCACATCTGGGTGTGCTGGTCCCCTTTCTCTCTGCCTGCCCAACACACTTGTTTTCGAAGCCCCACTGCAACGTCTCCTGCACTGCACCGTACCCCACACACATGTGAAGTTCTCACAGCAGCCTTAACTTCAGACCCGGGGTGTGTGTCACCAGAAGCACACAGTGATGCCTTTCTTCTGTTATGGTGCAGTGCCTGTGTGCCCCTCACTGGGAGGGCCATCTGCTCGAGGGCAGAGTCTGTGTTTCATTTGCCACTGCTCAGTGCTTAGAGCAGTGCCAGGCACAGCATGGGTGCAAGACTTGGTGGCAGAGCCTGCATGGTTCCTTTAGTTCAGAGGCATTGGAGTTCCAGGAGGAAGCACAGAACTCACAAAGGAGCAACCTCGACCTTGGGATTCCCATCAGCCCTGAATGACATGCCTCTGAACCTTGCCTAGATGCCTTCATAGGAAATCAACTTTCTCTAGCAAGTGACAGCACAAAGCTGGGCATAGCGTGTCCTGGAAAAAGGAGTTGTTTATCTATGAAGACAGGCAAGATTTTCTGGATCACTAGAATGTTACCCCGGTTTCTACACTGATATGATATTGTTCTCTTGATAAGAAAGGTTCTCTTCGTCAGGATCAGTCTTACAAACAATCCTGCTTACCTGTTCCCTCTCTCCTGGAGGTGAATGCCCTCCAGGTCTCAGGGTTAATCCCAGGCTGGCTCCAAGCCAAGCCCTGAGCTAAGTCCTAACCCAGCTGTGCCACTCCAGGAGCCAGCAGCTGGGCCATGGAAATCCTTCTCTTGGTCAAGGGTTGATGAAAGGCCTAGAGACCTACCAGGTTACTGCAGAAATCACAGAGGTCATTGCCTCCTATGAACACAGTGATTATCTTCCAATCTTCCTGAAAATTTATCCTCTGAAATGAACAGGAAACAAACAAGTAAAAGGGTCAAGTTAAGAAAAACACAAAGTGCTAAACACTAAGTGGAGGGGATAAGTCCTCACAAGTCAGCGAGTCCAGTGGACATTCATACTTGCTGTTCGTTGGTTTTGGGGTGCTGAGGTCATAGATGGTAAATTGATCACTGACTTTAGGTGGGGTCCTGAACTACCACATGGATCTGTCCACACACAGTGGCACACAGCTCACAGATTCCACCCAAATCAGGGGGAGCAGAGTCAGATGTCTTCTGAGCTTTGGTGCCTCATCTCTAGATGGCAAGTGAGTGGGTGGGGGAAAGGGATGCTGATCCTGGTCCTGGCCCTGGGAAAGGAAGGTTTGTTCCGGGAATCTCTAGAAGTCTAGAATGCTCCTTTTGCCTATGGAGGAAAGGGGCACCCTCCATTAAGAGGGAACACTCCAAACTCAAATGGTTCAGGTGCCTGTGAACAGATCCGGCTAGAGAGGCTGGTCAGAGCAGCATGGCAGCAGCAAGCATGTGCTCTGAAAATACTGTGCCACCTCTGCCGTCTGCCTCTTCCAAGAGGGACTGGGCAAGCACTTGAAATCACAGGGCTGGGCAGAAGGTGTGTGGTCATACACATTCCATAAACTGTGGCCATGGAAAACGGTGCCCTCACAGCCCCTTATGTCGTTGCCAGCATACATAACTTTGCCTCTCTGACTTATACTTCCAAAAGAGGTGGAGGGGGAAAGATGGGAAAAAATTCAGAAAAGTTTGACACTAAAATGGAAATATTCTGGTTTGTTTTTGTTTTGTTTTGTTTTTCTTCCGGTACCAGGAATTGAACTCATGACCTTGCACTTGCCAGGCAGGTGCTTTGCCGCTGAGCTAAATCCCCAGCCCCCAAAATGGAAATATTCTGAAACCTCCCAATAACAGACTTCCCAGCATGTTCAGTTATATACAGAATAATAAATCCCAATCCCTATCTTTCATTATTCTATCCACCTGGAAACAGCTGCAACATAAAGTCTGCACTGAGAATCTGCTTCATTTGAGGGAGAACCTTATGTGCTTCTTTTAGAACCCGGGTCATACATCTCTGTTTCCTTCCCGGGCCCTCTCATGCAGACTGCCTGGCCCATCTTCTGTGCCCTGTTCTTCCTCACACATAGTCTTCTTTCTGTAACACATGGCAACTGTTTCTGAATCTTCATCTTCATGTCAGTCTCCTCATGAGCCCTTTAAGGACAGGACTGCGCTGTAGGCCCTGAGTATTTCCAGCCCTACCCCCAGCCCAGTGCCCGATTCATGCTGTCCAATTCAAACAGCTGGGTGGCTGACAGTCTGAACAAGGGAATGAGAACCCCGCCTCAGAGGTGCCTGCTAGAAAGCTGGCCTGGCTCCTGGGCACCCCTCACCCCACAGCTGATCTTCTCCGGGTCCATAACTTTCTCCCGCCCACTTCCTGTTCTGGGAGCCCCTCCCCAGCTGCGCCAGACTCACGGAGTCACTCTTCATCAGATCCACCAGCCTCCTGGCCTGGACAGCCAAGCCCCTATGAGCACACACAGGAGGAAGTTGGGTGAGAGGCAGGGACTGGTAGAGAACTTAGCAGAAAGATCAGACTGGGTGAGGGGTTCCTGCAGGAAAACAGGACTAAAGGCCAGGACACAGATCTCCTTCCTTGTCCAAGCTCTACAGAGGAGGAGGAGGAAGTGGGGACCACACCTGGGAAGGGTAGAGCCCTGCACATTTGAGGGGTAATGCTCATTGTGACTATTTTGTGACTGACATATTTGATGGCCTCCTTTTCTTTCTTTTCCAAGTCAGGCTTACTGAAGGCAAATGGAAGTCCGTAAGGACATGTCATGCACAGCTCAGCATGTGGCCATTTTGACAGATGCTATGGCCCCGGCTCCATCACTCTCAGGGTGATGCTCATTTTGGTTACTCCTAAGCTGTCCTCTCTGAGACTTCATTCTTGGGTTCCTCTCTGAGCTAATCATGCTCAACACTGCCTCTCTTATACTGCCAGCTGATGTATGCTTGTGAAAAGCAAAATCATAGCAGTATTAAAACAAGTAAAAAATCTAAAGCAGTAAATCAGTCTCCTTTCATTCAGGCTTTGTATAACCCACTCTTCCTGTCAGTAAGTGGGAAAGCTACTGAGGTGGTTCATGGCCTCGGGATGGTGCTGGGAGCTGGGAGAAGATCAGAGAATCTAAGAATCAAGCCATAGGAATCCTAGGAACTTCACAGAGAGTGAGATCTGTATTATTGTGGGAGAAAATAGGACTAAGCAGAAAGACTCTTTCTGTTTTTTCTCTGATGCGGTACGGCACGCATGTGTCCTCTGACCCGGCAGCAAACTGCAAGTAGCACTCTAGGCTCTGGAATCCAGCAGCACAGCAGAGCCTGGGACCAGGAAAGCTGCCTGCTTTGCTCTCGGGGACTCCGGAAGCCCATGGACCACAGCACAGCGATCTCCGTGCTCGCTAGATGTTCTCCCAGGTGGGCCCTGCAGCCTTGATGCACCATTGCTGGGGCCACCATCCTGACCCAACGTGTGTACCCTATTCACAGCTCAACACAACCTTTGCATTCAAGGGTGTGTTCGAACCTTACACTTGCCCTGTGAGAGGGGGTTTACAGCCAGCCCCTCTTTAGAGAAACCAGGAGAGAACCTAGGACTTGGACTCTGGGCCTCCACTTCCAGGCTGCTGCTCTTCCCAGGAGAGGAAGGAAGTGCAGCACCCACATGAGGGTGGGAGGGAGGGCAGGGCTCTAACACACAGCATAACACGGGAGCAGCTGGGACTTCGAGGGAGCCCTTGAACAGCTGCTGTTTAGTGTGCACACGAGATACGCAGATGAGGCGAAGCACGCGCCAGCCATCAGAGTTCGTTGTCACTAGTTCCTGGGGGTAATGTTCGGGGTACACTAGCAGATTTCTGTGTCTGACAGCAAAGAATACCCCACGAGACCAGCCCAGACTCTGTACCTCAGGCCCCTCCCCGAGGCGAAGCCCCCAGCCTTGGGCCATGAACCCCAGTCTAGGCCACACTCCCCACTCTGACCCTGCGGGGCGTATGCTGTCCTCCCCACAGGGTGCCCTGGCTCACCCAGCACGGGCCCCTGCCACAGCCTGGTTAAGGAAGGCTCCCTCACTGTTTTCTCTCCCGGTGCCAGTGGAGAAACCCTTCAGGGAAGGGTTGAATTCCCGGAGGATGTCTGGAAACATAAGAAAGAGATGTGGTTAGTAGCGAGCCTAAAGCAATCTTCAAGTTCCTTTCTTGAGTGTCCCTGGAGGTTGGGGACAGAGCAGAGTCCCTCTTCCTCAGTTCGCCCACCCTGGGAATAAAATGTTCAGCAGGCTGATGTCTCACCACGTGGGCAGCATGTAGTAGGTGCCTAGGAAATTGCTACTAAATAAATGTTAGTCTGGGTTAGGCAATTTTCCTCATGCATTTTTGCCTTTTTCTAAATATACAAAGTGTACTCAGATATAATTCATACCATAAGGTATACCAGTTAAGAAGTATACAGCTTGAGGGCTGGGGATATAGCTCGGTGGCATAAGTGCCTGCCTGGCAAGCACAAGGTTCTGAGTTCAATTCCTGGTACCAAAAGAAAAAAGTATACAGCTTGATAGCTTTTAAGTATATTTGTAACTGTGCAACCATCAGCACAGTCACCTTTACTTTTAGTTTTTGTTATTTTTTTTTATTTTTATTTTATTTTTTTTCAGTACTGAAGATTGAACCCAGGGCCTCACACTGAACTACATCCCTACTCCCCACCTTATAACTTTTGAGACAAGATTTTGCTAAGCTGTGAAGTTGCCCAGGCTGGACTCAAACCTTCCATCCTCCTGCCTCAGCCTCCCAGACTGCTGAGATTATGAGTGTGTACTACCACACTCAGATCATGGTCTCTTTACCCATTCTTTTTCAGAAGGAATCCTGTGCTCATTAGCACTCAGTAACACTCCTGTCACTAATTTACCTTCTGTCTGTAAAGATGTGCTTATTCTGGACATTTTATATAAATGAAATCATACAAAGTGCTTTTGTTGCCGGGCGTGGTGGCACATGCCTGTAATCCCAGCACTCAGGAGGCTGAGGCAGGAGAATTGTTGTGAGTTGAAGACCAGCCTGGGTTACAAAGTGAGCTCAAGGCCAGCGTGAACTGCATAGTGAGGCACTGTCTCAAAAAGACAAAACAAACAAACAAACAAACAAAGTGCTTTTGTTGTGACTGGTACCTTTCGCTTAGCGTGTTTTCAAGTTTACTCGTGCTGTACCATACACTAGTATTTCATTTCTTTTCACTGCTGAATAACACATTTCATTGTACAGATATACCACATTTTATTTATCCATTCTTCAGTTCATGGGCATTGGGGTTGTTTCTACTTTTTGGAAATTATGAATGCTGCCGCTATGAGTATTTGTGCGCAAGTTTTCTGTGTGCATTTCTTTTGGATACATACATAATAGTAGAATTGCTGGATCATATGGTAACTCTTATGAACCTTTTGAGGAGCTGTAAAGCCTTTCTCCCAAAACAACGGTACCCTCTAGCAGTGTATAAGTACATCCTCCCTGGGTTTATTATTGTCTGCCTTGTTATTACTAGTGATTTTGAAGAGTATCTCCCTGTGGCTTTGATTTGTGCTAGGGACTACTAATGTTCAGCTTTTTTTCATAGGCACAATGGCCATTTGTATGTCTTTTATGGAAAAATGCTCTTCAGATCCTTTGCTTATTTTTAATTATGTTGTCTTTTTAATAATTCGCTTCTAAGAAATCTTTTTTTTTGTTGTATTTTTTTTGTTTTTTTCTCTGGTACCGGGAACCGAACTCACAACCTTGCGCTTGCCAGGCAGGCGCTTTGCCGCTGAGCTAAATCCCCAGCCCCTTCTAAGGAATCCTTATAGTTTCTAGAT